AACTATCTAAAGATAGTTTCAAAAATTTCCAATTCTTGAGATCCTTCTGTATTTTATTCCAAGCCAATTCATAATTGTTCTTCACAAGTTGTCCATTCTTTGCTGTCAACCAAATCCCTAGGTATCTTAGTTTCTTTACAATTTCCATTCCCGTAGTCGATGCAATTTTCTCTTGTTTTTCCTTTCCTACATTCTTAGTTAGTATTTTAGTTTTCCCTTTGTTCATTTTGAAGCCCGCCACCTTTCCAAATTCTTGTATTTTTCCAATCCAATTCTGTATGTTATTTATTGGGTCTTCCACAATTCCCAATAGATCATCTGCAAAGGCTCTAATTTTATATTCATATTTTCCAATTTTTGCTCCTTTAATATTTGTGTCATCCCTTATTTTCCTCATCAGTGGTTCCAAAGCCATTATGAAAATCAAAGGGGATAATGGACATCCTTGTCTTGTTCCTTTTGTAATCATAAATTCTTCAGATAATTGACCGTTTATGCGAATTTTTGCTTTTTGTAAGTCATAAATGGCATTAATTGCATTTATAAATTTTGCCCCCATGTCCAATTCCTGAATCAATATCTTGAAGATGTCCCAATTTAGATTGTCAAAAGCTTTCTCTGTGTCAATTGATAAAATGGCAGCTTCTTTTTGATAATTCACCTCGAAGTATTCTATCAAGTCCTAAACTGTGCGAATGTTGTCCTTCATATATCTTCCTGGGAGGAACCCTGTTTGTTCCTCCCTATCCAATCATTCAAAAATTCTTTTAACCTTGTCGCCAGTATATTAGTAAATATTTTATAAGCCACATTCAATAAGGAGATTGGTCTATAATTCTTAATATCCTCTGGGGTTGAACCTTCTTTATGTATCATTACAATTTCCGCTTGGCTCCACGATTCTCGAATTATTTCATATAATAGTGCCTCATTTAAGACCTTTTTTTAACATTGGTAAAAACGTTTTCTTCATTGATTTATAGAATCCTGCTGTAAATCCATCAGGGCCTGGAGCCTTGTCTGCATCCATTTTGTTAATTGCTTTTTCTATTTCTTCTACCGTAATCTCTTTATTCAATTTTTCTCTTACTTCCTCTGAGATTTTTTGTAATTTCAATTGGCCTATATATTCTGTAATTTCCTCTTTCTTTATTCCATCTTTCGTATATAATTTACTGTAAAATTTCTTAAATTTAAGAGAATTTAAGAAAATTTAAGAAATTTAAAAGAAGTTTCTGGTTTTGATACATATATCACCTGGAGCCTTTCACAGTGCAGACTTAGGACCTTATCACACTATGGATCCACTTTAAATCTAGTTTCCTACTCCTACAGAATTCTGAGGCTTGTTTAGGGGAAGGGACTTTAAACCTCTCAGCCAGTTCTGGGCCTCTCAAAACTACAATCCCCAGAATTCTGCAGGAAACAGGAACTGAATTATAGTGGATTCACGCTCTAGTGTGGTGAAGCTGTTAAAGCACTATGACTCCATATTAACCACCATGCCTGCATATGGAATCCTATTTCTGCAGTTTTCTCCAGAGCTCTCTAGTCAAGACTTCTAAATGTGTGTGTTTTTTAAAAAAGCACCTGATCGCAAAAGTTAAGTAGATTCAGTTCTGGTTATTAGTCGGATGACAAACTGTCAATGAATATTAGGTGCTATGGGCCACATTTTAGAGAAAGGAACAGGCCAAACCATCTCTGAGTATTCCTTGCCTAAGGAAACACTATGAAATTCATGGGCTTGTCAACAGTCTACTTGAGGGCTACTTGGCTGTCCCATTCAAATACTAACAAGACCTAACCCTGCTAAGCTTCCAAGATCAGATGGGATCTGGTGCCTTTAAATATCCCCCCCTAAATGACAAATCCCAGGCTTCTATAAGATGAAATTTTAGCAGTTCTAGTTGATCAATAGTATTATAATAATGGAGTGTAAAAGGTTTCCTGAATAATAATAATAATAATAATAATAATAATAATAATAATAATAATAATAATAATAGGGAGGATATGAAACCCTTCTTTCCCCAAGCACACAAGCAAACCCTTCAGCATTTGGCCTTTGGAATGAAACGGGAACCCGTTGGCAGCTTTTTTCCTTAAGACCAACTCATCTGCCAGGATTGGGCAGCAAGATAATTTTCCTTGTCACTGCTGGTGGAGAAGGATTAATCTTCTTTTCTTTGCATGCTGTGTTCCTGATTAAAACCTCTCTCCACTTCCCCCCCCCCCCCTGTTCTTCCTGTTGCATATTTTAAAATCCTAGATATACTTGCTAACCCCACAGTAAAAGTTGAGTGTGGAGCATTACTTTGAATAATAATTAATGTGAAACTGTGGACATAAATCTTCACTTTCTTATTCTGGCACAGATGACTTGGTACTTTTTAAACTCTTCAATTTACTGAGTAAAATTATGATTTTTTTCATGTTTTGCATGTGACTATTATGTCAAATTTATTGGGTGCACAATTTACAATTTCCTTTTTAAAAGTATCAGTTTAGAGATCTCATCACATGGAGGTCCAGAAGCCGGGGGATAGCGGGAGAAACTATGGGGCAGTGTACCTCCTCATCCCCTTTTACAGTCATGGGTCATGGGCTGCCATCCCACATTTCCCCGCTGTCCCCAGATATTCTGGGTGCCAGATTTATCCTACCTCTGGTTAGTTATGGATAGCTTCAGCATTTATTGCATTTATCCATCTTAAAAGGTGTGGTAGCAATCAATGTAGCCTAATTTCTGTAAGACAAGCTTTCTTGTCTTCCTTCTGTAATCTTTTATACTGGATAGCTCCAATGACTGTATGTGTAAATAAAATGGAATTTAATGCTCTAAAAATTTTCTGTTTTGAATACCTTAACTGTACCAGAAGATTTTAAAATAATAATAATGATAATAATAATAATAATAATTGCCTCTGTAGCCTCAGAGATTCACTTTCCCTTAAATAAAACCAGATGCTTCTATTGTGGAGGGAAAACGTGTGTGTTTAAAGTCTGACCTGAAATACTGGGACCTGCTGGAGCACCATAGCAAAATCACCTCTGACTTTAAACACCACACCAGTTGGGTAAAATCAGCAAGCAGTTTAGTTAGGAATATATGTAGCCCAAGCAGTAAAAAGTAAAAAGTAATCCAATTGATACAAAGAGTCCAAGGAAATCCATGAAACTAGGCACTTGATTCCATGAACAATACAGAAGCATATATCATATGCAAAACATAAGCTAGGCAGACCTTCTTGAATGAAACTTGGCATTATTCTGACGTTGGCTCAACTGAAGCAATAATCTCTCACAAATAAACTCTTCCCTGAATCCAAAACTGCTAGGAATTGATTATTTCATAGTTTCAGTTTACTATCTATCTTCTGTTGAAGCCAAGCAGAGCATCTTAATTGCTGCACGGACTGCCTCTGTTTACTAAAGCTGGTAAGTCCCGCAGGGCACGAACTTCAGGTGGCAGAGCATTCCAGACTGATGGCGCCATTGCTGTGAAGGCTCTGCGTCTGGTTGCCATTAGACGCAAGGTCTTGACACCTGTCTTGCTTTTACCTGAGGTGGCCAAACAATACCTCAGATAAAAGCTAATTAATGCAGAGAAAACTGAGTTTTCCCAGTTTATTCTGCATTAATTAAACTCCTGGAAAGATTAGGAACTTAAGCTAAGATCCACATCTTTCCAGGTGTGGGTCCTGTGGGGATTGACTCCCAGGCTACTTCTGTAGTCCAGGGGTTCAATCCCCCAGCCATCTTGGTTCTTTGGGCTCCTGAAGCCCAAAGGAGCAAGAGGGTGCCCACTCGGGAGGGTCCCTATCCCCTGCACCCCAGGCCCCCATTCTCTCCCCCCCCCCCAAAAAAAAAGAAAACTTACTGGATGGATCTGCTGGCTGTACAGGGCCCTCTGCACAGTAGTCCTGATATGAGAAAATGGCATGTCAGGAGGTAGGAGGAGGGATTTCCCCCCCACACACACACACACACACACAACTCCTGACATCATTTTCTAGCAGGAGGAGTACTGTGCAGAGGATCCTGTGCTGCCAGCAGGCTCTTCCAGTAAGTTTTTTGGGGGCAATGGGGGTGTGGAGGCAGTTTGGAGGGTTGGGTTGGAGGGGGGACTGAAAGTCAGGAGGAGGCAAATTATTTTAACCCACTTCCTCCAGAGATTTTGGGAAGTGTAGAAGGGTCCTTATGAAAAGTAGCAGAAAGAGATTAAGGAAGAAACCTGTGCAGGTATAGTCAATGTTCCAAAGAAAAATCTCCGTCTGCCATATAATCCAATTCAAAGGAGATAATATGGCAGTGTAGAAGGGGCCTAAGTCTACTGGAAAAGCAAAACTCTCCAGCCCTCCTTTCATTTTCTCACTGCTGAATTGAGTGCAAATTATTTTTGCACTTTGAACTCAGTTTGCCTCAACTGAAGGAAGCTGCAGACAAAAGGAGAGAATGGCAAAAGGGAGAAAGAAATAAGGATAAAAAAGCATTTGAAAAAGTGGGATGACGGAGGGTTAAATGGGAATGTTCTTGACAAATAAGGACTATTCAAGCATGTGCTATTCATTGAACAGTGTTGAGGCGATGGGTAAATAGATCCCACTGATTTAGTGGGACATTCATAAAGCAACTGAAAAAGTAGGACAACAGGTTAATATCAAAAAACAGTTTGTGTGACATTGTTTTGGATTGAATGGCTATCATTAAAAAAAACAAATAAGAACATATTTCCATGCTTGAAAGCTTTCATGTTCCAAGCTTTGTAAAGTGTATGTGTGGAATTTTACTAATGTTTTAAGAAAACTTTTCTAAGCACTGGTTTGAACAATACAAGGGAATTGTAATAGAAAGCAACTTTCCCACCTCTGCAGATGTTTCACCAATGAACAGAAAAATGAAACATATTCTTTTTTTTCTTTAACATTTTTCCAAGTACTGCTTTAATGACATGTTGGACGTGGAGTCACCCTCTTTGTTTTTTTATGTCTATACAGAATTGAGGGAGCAGCACATTCCATCTCAAGCATCCCTCGATGTCCACTCCAGTTTCAGCATTCTTCAGATTACAAAGCAAGCATTGCACCCAAATGTTCGGACAAAGTACTGTTTTCACAGTTTCCTCATTCTGGCTCAACCATCAACTCGTTCTCTGGAAAATCATCTTCCAGAATGGTCAGATTTCCCATATCATCACTTCAGACTCTAGACAAATCTTTAGGTAAATGTATAATTTCTTTATGCTACTGGAAACCTACTTATGAAGCGGCCAGGAAATTATGGGCTTTCCCAGTGTTTTGAGGTACAAGTGATAAGTGGATTCTATATCTGATGCATGAACATTGCACATTCATCTTCAAAACAGAGGGGAAAGTGAAGAGTTTAGACAACCAACAGCTCCCCTGCTTACCTCCTAAGGATAGGAAAGGCAGATATTGTAAATCTTGAAAGGCAGATATTGGGGCTGCTTTGGCACAAGCTCAGAAATAATTGAAACTATGAGTGTCGAACTCATTAAAGTGGAGAGTTTATTGCCTGTCATTTAAAAAATATAGACAGTTCTCCTTGTTCTTTGTGGATTTCATTGGATGTTCTCTCTTTTCTTTTCTTTTTGCCACTTCCTCTTCCTCTTTTTAGTTCTCCTTTTCCGCCTCCTAGGTTGTTGTTTTTTTTTTTACTATAGTAGCATTGCAGTATGTACTACTTTTTTAAATGATTTGTTTGTTTATTTTATTAAAACAGAATATACAGTTAACCAATTTGAAATTATTAGAATTTTCTAAACTTAAATTATCATGGTTTGGCAGGACAGACTTTATCAAAATGAAGATATTATCTAAATTATTTTTTTATTCAGTAGGCTACCACTAAAAATTTCAGATCAAGGTTTTTTTAAAAAAATGCAAATTATGTTAAACTTGTATTGTAATGGAAATTTTAAAAATGATTTAAAATGATCCAGTCAATGCCATTTTACCAGTGTTGATGATAAGAGAGGATCCATCGCCTTGCTGCTGTTGGAGTCAGGGGGACAGCTTTAAATTGGCTGTCCTCCTTTCTTCACAACCATGGACAGCGAGTGGAGAGGGGAGGCCTGGTCTCTGAGAGGTCCCCTCTATCTTGTGGGGTTCCTCAGGGGGCCATTCTCTCCCCTCTGTTGTTTAACATTTATATACGACCACTTGCTCAGCTGGTTCGAGATTTTGGGCTTGAGTGTTACCAGTACGTTGATGACACTCAGCTGGTGCTGAAGATGGAAGGCCGACCGGACTCTGTACCCGATTGTTTCCATCAGTGCCTCAAGGCCGTTACTGGATGGCTGCGTGCCAGCAGGTTGAGGGTGAATCCAGCAAAGACGGAGATCCTATGGCTGGGTCAACCGGGCAGTGGGGATATCCAGCTACCTACCCTGTCGCCCTACATACCTACGCCCGTCATCATTGGTAAAGAGTCCGGGAGTCCTTTTGCTGACGATGGAGGCCCAGGTCTCCGCCGTTAGCAGAACCGCGTTTTTTCATCTGCAGCAGGCTAGACGGCTGGCCCCCTACCTGTCCAGGGACAACCTAGCTACGGTGATCCAGGCTGCGGTCATCTCAAGACTGGACTACTGTAACGCCCTCTACATTGGCCTTCCTCTGTCAGTGATCCGGAAGCTCAAGTTGGTACAAAATGCAGCTGCTCGGCTTCTTGTGGGAATTCCGATGAGATGCCACATAACACCAATCTTACGGCAGCTGCACTGTTTACCAATTGAGCACCGGATCACTTTCAAAGTGATGGTACTCACCTTTAAGGTCTTGCATGGTCTGGGGCCGATGTACCTGAGGGATCGCCTCACCCCCTACCAACCCCAGAGATCCCTCCGGTCTGAGGACCAAGATTTGTTGGTCTAACAGCAACCAGAGACAGAGCCTTTACAGCAGTGGCACCATCACTCTGGAATACTCTGCCATCTGAAGTCTGTGCCTTGCAGGACTTATCAGCTTTCCGCAGGGCATGTAAGACATATCTGTTTCGACAGGCCTTTGACTTTTAATATTGCTGTTTTTAAATTGTTTTAAATTGTTTTTAAATTGTGTTAGATTTTAGCCTGTTCTTGTAAGCCGCTCCGAGCCCCAGGGGAGTAGCGGCATATAAGTTCGAATAATAACTAACTAACTAAATAAATAAATTTCTTTAAAATAATTTTAGAAAATTAATATTGTTTTAAGCCTTGTGATGTTATAGTGTTCTACATCCCTCTCCCTCCCCCCCCCCACCCGTATATATACATACTAATTATAAGATTAAAAACAGCCAGAGTCACAAGCTGTTATCACAAGTATTATAAGGAACATACCCTGACTTCTGATAGGCTGCTTACTGATGTGTCACTATTTGTGACAATACAATGTAATCTGAAAAGCAATGGGAACATGACAAATAAGATAATAGGTTGAAAATGAATGGGTTAAGTTATTGTGTAGGTGCTCATTAAAAGTAAGGAACCAAAACATTCCATATTAAACATCTACTATGGACTGGGCACTCTCGGGGCATAAAGTCAGTGCATGTTGCTGAAGACATAGTCTCTAAGTTTGATCCTTAATTACTTTTCACCAGCTGAGTGTACACAATTTTCTGGGATTAATTAATGGGGGACCCAGTGAGTATTTAATCCAAATCCATGAGATTAATTCTAGATCTTCTCCTTATCCTACTCCATCCAATAAAACCGAATGATCCAATTTAGGATATGTTATATTTTGTTATGTTGCTCCTTTTGGTGGATTCCCAGACCTCAGTAGGACAAATGCTGGCATTTTTGTTGGCTGTTCAACAGGTGAGTTCTTTTGCCCAGATGTATACCTGTTCCTGCATGAAGTGCCCAATTACTCTGTCTTTTTCAATATGACGATGAGTGCTGGATTTTGGCTACCAAATCCCATTTGGAATAGTGCTCATCTTGTACAGATTTCACAGCCTATTAATTAATTAATTAATTATATTTATTTTGAACATTTTTACCCCCCCCCCCCTTCTCAACCCCTAGGGGGACTCAGTGCGGCTTCCAATTGGCAATAATTCAAAGCCACAACCTGCAGTAGCACTCGCCATACACCCTCAACCAACCTCTCTTCTTCTCTCACATGCAAACACACACAATCCTATTCAGAGGTGACATATAGCCATTTGCCAGGAGCAGGAGCAGGAGCAGGTTTGTCTGAGCACTTCTTCATAAATCTTTGATAAGTCAAGAGAATCAATACCTTCTACTGTGTCGTATACCTTGTCAAATTATGAGTACACTAGAGACGTTAAAAAAGAACCTTAAAACCTTCTGTTGCACCTTTGGTAAATAGGTGCATATTATGACATTTTGCACCCCTCAACGTTTTTTGCCACTGGAGCTCGAGTCCCCCAAATTGGAAGTTTAGCCTCACAACTCTGTGTTTTATGAGTTCCCCGTTAATGTCCTGCTCCTATTTTATCTCATTACAGTCTTTTAATTGTTTTATCCTGTATATGTGGCGCGCCCATTGTTATCGTTATTGTGATTGTGCTTATTAGAACGTTATTTTATGACTCCTTTTTTTGGATGTTGTTGTTATTTGGCATTTATGATCTGATTTTATTGCTGTATTATGTTGTCCGGGCTTGGCCCCATGTAAGCCGCTCCGAGTCCCCACTGGAGAGATGGTGGCGGGGTATAAATAAAGTTTATTATTTATTTATTTATTTATTTATTTATTTATTTATTTATTTGCATTTGCATTTGCAGTCATGAGTGCAGGTAGAAAAGAAGTGCTTTTGATATGGGATTAGAAACTGTTTTTGGTTCCAGACTTTGGGAGCATGAGCTGAAAAGCAAGTTCTCTCTCATTTTGGCTTATTGTGGGAGAGAAGCAATTTGCAGAGAAGAACTAGTTTTGGGACCAGCAATTTATACATTTTAAGTATAAAAGAAGACAGAGGATTGTCCATCCACAAGTCCTACAGGGAGTACCAGTCACAGAAAAGACTGCAGCTCGGGTAGCCAGATCTTAGCTCCTCTTCAGTATTCACCTTAGCTATAAAGCTGATGAAACTCCAAGGAAAAATGCCTCCCCAATGGTATTATAAAACAATTTACAAGTGAACATTTGGAACCTCCTCAAGTGAAAGCAAGATTTCTGCTTGTCATTATCTATGTCTAAATTCAGCTACAGTATTTAAGAGCAAGCTTGGTAGCTGACTTAGAACTACCTCTCCTCTCCTTTCATTTTTGGCTGCCATAGAGGGGTAACAACTGAGCTAATTGTGAGTTGAAAAACAATTTATTAGTATTGTCGAAGGCTTTCATGGCTGGAATCACTGGATTGTTGTAGGTTTTTCGGACTACATGGACATGTTCTAGAAGCATTCTCTCGACGTTTCGCCTGCATCTATGGCAAGCATCCTCAGAGGTTGTGAGGTCAGAGGTTGACCTGGAGAGATCAGGAAAGCCCCTACACTAGAAACGTTTAAAAAGAACCTTAAAACCTGGCTCTTCCGCTGCCCCTTTGGCGAGTATGTGCACAGCACGACACTATTGCTCCCCTTATCGCTTCTGTCACTGGAGTACACGTCCCCCCCCCCCAAAAAAATGGGAAGTTTAGTTTCACAACCCTGTGTATCTTTATGAGCTCCCTGCAAATAATTTGCTCCTATTTTTATCTCATCCAAGTTTTTAACATTTTATCTTGTACATGTGGCCCGCCACTGTTTACTGCAACTGTGTTTTTTGTTTATTGTAATGCTATTTTGTTATTTTATTTTTTCCATGTAATTTTGATGATGTTGCTTATTGTTTATGTTTTGGTTTTATCTTGATGTAATATGTTGTTCGGGCTTGGCCCCATGTAAGCCGCTCCGAGTCCCCATCGGGGAGATGGTGGCGGGGTATAAATTAAGATTATTATTATTATTAGTAGTAGTAGTAGTAGTAGTAGTAATTTATTAGTAATTTGAAGACACATCTAGACAACCCAAGGCTAATATTTATTTATTTTAATTTTTTAAAACTTCAATTACATTTGGCCCAGCCATAGATTTTAAATATGCACTGTACTTTGTTTAATGTGTATGCTATTTGTGTATGAGATTTATTTTAATTGCCTTGTATTGTGTCTGTTATTGCTTGTATTGATGTATTGCAAGGTCGGCCTCATGTAAGCCGCACTGAGTCCCATGGAGAGATGGTAGCGGGGTATAAATAAAGTTTTTTATTACATGGATAAATATACATGGATAAACATGGATAAACATACATGGATGTTTCAACAAGCATTTGGTTAATTTTAATGCAACGAAGTTAATGACCAAGGATCGGCAATCACGGACGATGAGATTGGATTATGTTTTTTAGTTAAGAGATGCTTCGATTGTATTGGTGGCCCAATACTGTTTATGATATATGTTTTTATGTTTTTATGCTTTTAAATTGTATATTGTTACTTATTTTAGTGATGTAAACCGCGTTGAGTCGCCATTGTAGGCTGAGAAACGGCGGTATATAAGAGTAGTAAATAAATAAATAAATAAATAATAATAATAATAATAATACACTGTGAACTATAAAGACTGTAACTAATGTTCCAAGAAAAGATGAACCAGTTGCAATAAGTTATAATTTCTGCTGTTTTCTGGTGGAAAGTAAAATTCCACTACCTTCTCTCACTACCTTTCTGCCAATGAAACACAGGGATAATGGCAGCATTTCTAATGCTATTATTGACACAGGAATTTAAAAAGAGTTAACTCAAACCACAGCTAGAATTAAACAAGACTTAAATACTTATACAAAAGATATAACATAATTCAGGCAAAGGTTAAGAGCACTACAACAGATTGATGAAGGGTAACAGCTGACACCAAGGGAAGAAACAACAACAACAAAATTGGAGTAAAACAAGCAAACAGGCCCCCATAGACAGCTTGAAATGTCAAGGGGTTTGCAGACTATGTATGTAGGTGTGACTGAATCAGAGGAATGAATACAGGCTTTTCTTCAGATTGAGAAAAAAACAAAAAAATACTACAAAAAACCAAAGGTGAAATGTTGTGTGAGTATGCAAGCTTCATGCAAATAGCAAGGGAAAGCCTGCACAAAATGCATAAGAATCTAATTAGATTAAGCTTGACATGTTTCTAATTAGAAATGAGAAACATGTCAAGCTTAAATAGAGAATTCCCTATTTAAGTGGTGGCCCAGACACAAGAGGAATTATTTAAAATGGACTGGAATAAATAAACTGAGAATTTTGGCAGTTTAGGTAGGGATGGATTGGAGAAATAAAACAATGAGAATGAAAGGGAAAAGACAATAAGAAACAATGATGATGATGGTGATGATAGTAGTAATAGTAATACTTTATTTATAACCCTCCCTATCTCCCCGAGGGGACCCCGGATGGGTTATAAATAGAAAAAGATTTCTGAAATTCAATAAATAGTTCGTATAAAAAGATTTATTTATTTATTTATTTATTTAGAACTTTTATGTACCGGTCTTCTCACCTCCAACGAGGGACTCAGGCCGGTTTACAACAGAGGAATTCATACACAATAGTTTAAAACATCACATCCAATAATACACTAATATAAAACACATTAAAAAACAATCATATAATTACATAAGGCCAAGTCGTCAGAATAAAATCACTATTCATCCCCATCCGTCCATGTGGTCAAGAGTTATTGACTCACTCATCAAATGCCAGATTCCAGAGCCAGGTTTTCACCAACTTTCTTTAGAGGTCAGGAGGGAAGAGGCAGTTCTAATCTCCAATGGGAAAGAGTTCCAGAGCCGAGGGGCCACCACCGAGAAGGCCCTGTCCCTCGTCCCCACCAGATGCGATTGCGAAGGTGGTGGGACCAAGAGCAGGGCCCCTCCAGAAGATCTTAACAACCTTGATGGTTCATAGGGGAGAATCCGTTTGGATAAGTAAACTGGGCCGGAGTCGTTTAGGGATTTATAGGTCAACACCAGCACTTTGAATTGTGATCGGAAGCTAAGTGGCAGCCAGTGGAGCTGGTGCAACAGGTATGCTCCCTGTACCCCACTCCTGTTAGTAATCTGGCTGCCACTCGTTGGACTAATTGCAGCTTCCGGGCAGTCTTCAGAGGCAATCCCACGTAGAGAGCATTGCAGTAGTCTATATGGGATGTAACCAGAGCGTGGACCACCGTGGCCAAGTCAGACTTTAAATTTAAATTTAAATTTAATTTAATTTAAATTAAAAGGAAATAAAACTTGAAGGGGGATATTGAGATGATAAACTAAAGATAAATTTACAAGAATATGAACTTTACTTAAAATGGATAAATTGTTGAAATGAATATTATAATGTTTAAATGTTTTAATTTACAGTTTTAATTTAAATGTATATTTTAATTGCATGTTTTTTATGGCATTGAAAAGTTGCCTATGTGTAAAGCCTCCTTGGGTCCCCTTCAGGGTGAGAAGGGTGGGGTACAAATATAGTAAATAAATAAATAACTTGTGATTATGTATTAATTTGAAATATATTGGTTTATATTTAGCAGGAGCTAAAATGCAATTAATTAGAGTAAGAAGTATATGTGATATAACAGTCAGATTGTTGCCTTTCCTTGAGGAGAGGAAAATCAGTCCTGTTTTTAAATTTTTCTATTAAAATATTTTCTATTTTTCTATTTTATTTTTAAGAAAGATGGGAGTGGAATTTGGTTTTAGTTGGCAGGGTTGGGGAGTAATTGGGTGGGGTTATTTTTTGTGCTGAATTATTTTATTTGTTTCTTGTTTTAATGCCTGTGTTTGTTCTTTTTAAAATGTCAAAATTCAATAAAAATAATTGGGGGAAACAATATTTGGTTCTGAGGTTACAGAAAATTAACAGAAAAAATATGATTTTTGTTTTGTCAGTTACTTAACCACATTAATACTTTTGTTCCTTTGCACTTTATACATATGACAACAAGGATACACATAGCCATGGTCAAGGTATCAAAAGTTATTATGGGCAAGACTAGAGCCGTTTGATTTTGCTCTATATGCAGCAACTGAAATAGACAAAGGACAAAGAGGGGCAGTGAGAAAAGGAGAGGAAAAATTGAACAATTTAAAAGTAACTAAAAAAGTGGGATCATAGAATCATTGAGTTGGAAGAGACCTTGGAAGCAAGAAAATCACATTGGCATTGGATGTCACTGGATTAATCATGACTGTCCCTGCCAAATCAGGACTGTTCAAGGGTTGTTTGGGCCTCAAAACCTTTCCCTGGGATATTATAGTTTTTCACAACATAGTTTCTCTGAATGCACAAAGAATACCCAGAAGGCACTGGCTTGTCTTGCTGGATATCAATGCAAACTTTGTGTTTTCATACTTAGTTTTCAAACTTTGTCTCATCCACCCCACCCCCAGCTTTTCTATATTTTGCTTGCTGTTGCCCTACAGCAGAACTTTTCCATTTATGTGTCGTTACACATTAGTGTGTCAACTGCAGCGTGTAGGTGTGTAGCATGAACGTCCTCATGAACAATATAAATCTTGGAAATGTATGTTATTATCTGACGCATCATATATTTTTAAAAATATAAATGAAAGGTTTTCATGAGATAGCTCAAGTCCCCATTGTTCTGTATGTGTCCGTATATTTTATAAGGAAATTTGCTAGTAAAATGAAATTATTTTATTTACTGTACTTATACCCCACCTTTCTCACCCCATGAAATGTTTGGAAAGCTTTGCCCTAAAGTATAGTTCACAACTATCTTAAAAGTGTTGTTTAAAATTATTGTCCAGTTTTGCTCTATATTACCTCTATATCAAACATCATGAGTTATTCAGATATTTGTTATGTAGATCTGTCAGTTTCCCAAGGCAAATCTGCCTATCTAGCTATTCGCTCTCTCTACGTGGGGCTACCCCTGAAGATGGCCCGGAAAGTACAACTTGTCCAACAGTCAGCAGCCAGATTAATAACAGGGGCTCCCTACAGGGGAGCGGTCAACCCCCCTGTTTAAGGAGCTCAATTGGCTGCCATTCATTTTCCAGTCCTAATTCAAGGTACAGGTTTTGACCTATAAAGCCCTAAACGGTTTGGGACCCGCCTACTTTCATGACCGTATCTCTCTCCATGAACCAGCCCGAACCCTTCGATCTTCGGGGGAGGCCCTCCTTTCACCCTTACCAGTTTCTCAGGCTTGCCTTGTGAGTACAAGGGAGAGAGCCTTTTCCTTTGTGGCCCCTCGACTCTGGAACTCATTGCCCGGAGAGATTAGGAAAGCCCCTACTTTAGAAACCTTTAAAAAGAGTCTCAAGACCTGGCTCTGCCATTGCGCTTTCTGAGAGTAGTCACATCATTTTATGTTATTGCTCCCGCAATGTTCTTGTCCCAAAGGTTCCCCCCGCCCCAATGTATGGAGGCTTGCTTATTTCTCTGTCTCTCTATGAGTTCTCCCTTACAAATAGTTCTGCCTCTTTATCTCACCCTGAGTTTTTAAAATTATTTTATGTACATGAGGCCCTCCCTCTGTCATTATGTTTGGTCTCTATGTCCTGTGTATATTGTTTATATGCTTTGATGTTTTATACTTTAAATGTTTTATACTTTGATGTTTTATACTTTTTATACTGTTGTTTATTTTACTGCAGTTTGTATTTTTGTATTGTAATTTTTTGTTCGGGCTTGGCCCCATGTAACCGCTCCAGATCCCCATTGGAGAAGATGGTGGCGGGGTATAAATAAAGATGATGATGATGATGATGATTATTATTATTATTACTGCAGGCCCTGGTGGTTAGGAAATAATAAAAGGATAGGGTGTAAAGGAATAAAAGAAGTCTTATCAGGGGACATTAGCACAGTCATTCTGTAGGGAGAAGAGGGCTCAATAGATTTCATAGTAACAGCGATTCCACTGATGGTTCAATTTATTACTGAAGGTAATTCCAGCAAGGCAATAAATCTGCATGTCAGCAGGTAAATATTCACTTTACCAGCTGTGTCTTATTTTATCACCATAGATTTGTGCCGGGGAGGAGGGAGCACCATTTCACACCAACTACTAAGCCCAAAGAATGTCAATGAAATTATGCAAATTGATTTCCTTCATAGGTTCTGAATGTTAGCCTCTTTTAAAAATATATATATTTCTGCACATTGTTGCTCCTTTGCTTACCAGCTCCCAGAAGTGACAGCTTGTTACTACAAAAACAATATACTCCTTGCTCCAGCACCTCTAATATTGGAAGTGATGTACTTGGACAAGGTCAGGACTATGTCAGATCATTATTCTCTGGGTCCAAGAAGACTGGTGCAGATGCTTCGCCAATGGAAAAAGTAGAAAGGCAACCTATTCCATCTGAATATTACAACTCTTCAGCATCCAGGTACAGTCACAATGTAGAAGAGGGCAGAGATAGGAATATTTATGGAACCATGACTGTAAGAGATAATATCAGCCCTCTTACTGTATAACTTTATGTTTGCTGTCTAAGTTATGGAGAGATTGTGAATTTTGAACATTCTTTTTTAAAAAAAAAAAAATTACTTATTCCTCCCTGGAATGTTACAATGCAAAAGAAAGAGAGAAGCTACAGAGGTTATCTTGTATGGCCAATACCCTAGTCTATAGTTTTCTGTAATTTTTGTGTTTTGTTTTTGTTTTTTTGCATGGGATATTTGTATGGCTCATAGATTCCATGCTAATCTTTAGTAGGCATCAAGCAGATTTAACACATGGCTTGTGTGTCCCCTTCACCAATCCCTCATCTCTTTTTCTTACCGCATGCAAAGAGAGAAAATTGGGCTTGGCGAGTCCTGCTTGCTCCTGCAATTCTGCAAGCAAGCAAAGATCTGAGCAGCACATATGAAGAGCCAGTATTATTTCAATGTGGACATCCTCTTGTGACTTATTGGTAGTACTTTGTGGCAGTACTGAACCCTTTGAATTCCAGTTCTTCATATCAATCAATAACAGGAAATAATGCTTTGTGAGCCCCATAGTTATCCACGGCATGGAGGAAGCATAATCTCAGTGTGCCATCCCAGAATAATTATTGCCTTTACTGCCCTCTAACCAGCCAGTTAAATGAAGTGAAATTCATTTAATTGGTTCTTTGCAATACTTATTGCTGTTATATGTCTTGTCCTCTTTCTGGTGCTAACCATGCCCAGTGGATCTGGTTTGGAAGTTCTCCTCCCTTGAGACAATGGCCTTCCCTTATTAGATGGATGAAAGAGGCATTAAATCAGAATCAAAGTTTAAAAAGAAAATCCCTTTCTTTTTTTTTAAGGATTTATTCATGTTAATTTTTTTCCCTGGCAGCAAGCCCAGCAGTGCTATTCTCTACTCAAAAAAGATAGTCATAAATTTATTTCTAAGATGGGGTATGGAAAAGAAAGTAGAGTCAGTCACCTTCGTCCTGCAGTTGCATATGTAATAGAAATTGCTTTGTGTTTTCCATTGAAGGGTTTACTTTCTCTGTGTCTCAAAGACAATTTAAACAGTTATTAATTCTGTCAACAAAGCAAGACGAAAACACTGTATAATTATCCATTTTTCCATGGGCTTGGCAGTTTAATTCTCATTTACCCTTGTAAACCTTTCTTCATGACCCACTAGGTCACAGGAGTTGGTGCTTATTAGATGCTATTTCAGTGTAATTGAGATGCTTATTACTTGCTGTTAAACTTATCAATTTAAAAATAGTAAAGCAAGAGTGGGAGGCCAGATTTTGCTAGGTGCAGGACTATGTTTCTCTACCCCATGTCTGTCCTTGTGTAGCCAAATTTAGAGCTAAGACTGCAGATAAAGGGATCCATGCCCTGCAAGTATTCAAGCTAAACAGAAATAGACCAGGACAGAGAAGTCACTCACTAGGTTGAAAATAAGCTGCAGAGGTCTATTCGATCTGGCCAGAAAGGATGCATGTACAAGCAAATGCTTTCAAAGGTACAACATAACATGAATACAGAGATACATTTGACAGCTATTCAAAGCTTCTGCTTCTCCACGCCCCCCTCCCCAATTAACCGAAAGAAGGGCCAGTTTGGATCCACACCCTGATTGTCCAGTGTTCAGATGACGTTGCCACCTCCACCTGGATCCTGTTAAGTATGGTTTGAAGATGAATGTGGAACTTCTCTCCTGTACACTGTTAAACCCATCTTCCCTTTTTGGATTTTGTTCTCAGAAAAGCAAATGCAGGCACTGAATTTTCATTCCAAAGCATGCCACCTTATGGTTATAAACTAGTCAATAAAATGATATTCCACTCATCAAACAGAACAGTAGACTGTGATATAATATTTAAAAAATGTTCTCCAAGTCTGTTTTCACACCTCTCAAAGCAGAGTGGGTCAAAGTAACCAGCACTTTAATCAACAGAGTGACATAATGAGGAAAACATGTGCAAAGTCTTCATTTGGCATGTGTATCAGAGCCTACCACATGGGTCAGCCTGACTTTCATCAGTGCAAAAATGTACCGGCATCCTTGCTATCTATGCGTTTGAGTAATTTTTCATTATAAGTATAAGCAGAATCATCCACAAAAGAGAATAAAGTATTCACACAGTGGTGCCTTGTGTGTCTGTTGTAGTGAAAATGGGATCTGCAAATGGGATCCCATTTCAAGCTAAACAGAAATAGACCAGGACAGAGAAGTCACTCACTAGGGTGAAAATAAGCTGCAGAGGTCTATTCGATCTGGCCAGAAAGGATGCATGTACAAGCAAATGCTTTCAAAGGTACAACATAACATGAAATGGGATCTGCACCCAAAACTTCATTTAAAGTCTAAAATAAAACCCAAAGTGCATTCATTGCACCCCTGATGTGGAACTCAGTATTCACTGCTGCATTATGTATACAGTTTTTATATAAACAACTAGCTGTACCCGCCACACGTTGCTGTGGCCAACCTTCTCTCCCTCTTTCTCTCCTTCCTTTCCTCTACTTCTTTCTCTTCCTATTTATCTTCTTCTTTCCTCCATCTCTACCTGTTTCTTTCCTCCATTTCTTTGCTCTTTGGTTACATCCTTTCTTCTTTCCATTTCACTTTTTTATTTCCTTCCTTGTTTCTCTACCTTTCTTTCTTTCCTTCCTTCTTTTCCTCCCCCTTTCCCTCTTTCATTCCTTCTCTCTTTCCTCCTTCTCATTACTTCTTGATAACCCCTTCCAACTCTATTCTGTAAGTCTATTTAATTTGTATTATATAGTAATATATAATAGTAACATATTGTATAGTAATGTATATAACAGTATATAAAATATTGTATTTATATCTTACATAGAAAGAAGGAAAGGAAGAAGGAAGGAAGGAAGGAAGGAAGGAAGGAAGAAGGAAGAAGGAGGAAAAGGGAGGGAGGGAAAGAAGGGAAGGAAGGAAAAGAAGGAAGAAGGAGGGGAAAGAAGGAGGGAAGAAAGGAGGGAGGGAAGGAAATGAAGGGGAAGGAAATGAAGAAAGTGAAAGGAGGAGGAAAGGGAGGGTGGAAAGAAGGAAAGGAAAGGAAGAAGGAAGGAGGGAAAGAAGGAAAGGAAGGAGGGAGGGCCAGGAAGGGAAGGAAGGGGTGAAGGAAAGTAAGGGAAGGAAGGAAGAAAAGGGGGGAGGAAAGAAGGGAAGGGAGTGAGGGAGAGAAGGAGTGTGGTAGAGGGAGCTACCTCCCGGTTTGAATGTTAATAGAAGAAAGAGAGAGAGAGTTAAATGTGTGCTCGTGTTGCCGGAGACAGATCTACAGAAATGAGGGAGAAGAAGAGGGAGGAAAGAAAGAAGGAGTTGGAGGAGGAAGAAGGGAGCAGGACGCAGAGGAATGGGAGAATTCAAAAATAGAACTTGTTTCTGTTTCTTTCTTTCCTCCTTCCTGCAGTGAAGGGAGGGAGGCAAGGAAGAGTTGGTGAAGAAGGCAGCAGTCTCTCTCTCCCCTCCTCCCTCCCTCCCACCTGCTGCTTCCACCGGGGCACCTTGGAGGAAGAGGAGGCGACGAAAGGGAGGGGGGCAGCCAAGAGGAAAAGGCTGCTGCTTCTGCTGGCAAAGGAGGGACTTAGGAGCCCATCCACCATCTTCCTCCACTTCCTCCTCACTCCTAAAGCGGTGGTGGTGCGGTTTCAGATGAGGAAGGAGAGGAAGTGGATAGGCTCCTAAAGTCCCTCCCCCACCCGCCGGCCTTCCTCGCGCAAGCCTCCACTCCCATGGTGCCCATTCTCACTTGTGTGTGTGTGTGTGGCCATGCATGTGCGCCTGGCTCCTCATGTTTTAACGGCTGGCCGGCCGGCTGTTTCCTCGCGAGGAGGAGGGGGCGTGGCCATGGGTCTCTTTGTGGGCAATGCAGTTTCTCCTTTGTGAACATGTAGTTCAGAAGTCCTGTCTGCTTTTTGTTTTCGTGGGTTTTTTTTAATGGAGAACATACATTGGGTTGTTAGGTGTCTTGTGTACAAATTTGGTGCCAATTGCCCCAGGGGTTTTTGAGTTCTGTGAATAGTACAAACGAACATTACATTTTTATTTATATAGATATAACAAACAATGAATGGGATCTTATGCTGAGTCAGAAGCGAAGTGAAATAACTACATTTTCTTATGTCTATCTATTGTAATATTGGATGTCAAGAATTGCTCTATATACAAGAGATGTATATCCCTTTCCCTTGTCTCCGGGTTATTGCATCTGTTCTAGCCTGTAATAAGCTGAAGTGTTTACTGCTATGTATGAACCCAGAGTGAGAACAGAGATATCTGATGTACTGGTTTGAGCTGGCCTGCACAACCTGTGGTCCTCCAGGTGTTTTGGACTTAGATCCCAGAATTCCTGGCCATTGGAACAGCTGGCTAGAGCTTCTGAGAGTTGGAAGACCAAAATTCGGAGGACTGTAATTTGTGCAGGCCTGGGTTTGAGTTGGACTGTGATTCTGGAGCCCAGGGTTCATAGAATCATAGAATCGTAGAGTTGGAAGAGACCTCATGGGCCATCGAGTCCAACCCCCTGCCAAAAAGCAGGAAAATTGCATTCAAAATACCCCTGACAGATGGCCATCCAGCCTCTGTTTAAAAACCTCCAAAGAAGGAGCGTCCACCACACTCCGGGGCAGAGGGTTCCACTGCTGAACGGCTCTCACAGTCAGGAAGGTCTTCCTCATGTTCAGATGGAATCTCTTTTCTTGTAGCTTGAAGCCATTTTTCCACGTCCTAGTCTCCAAGGAAGCAGAAAACAAGCTTGCTCCCTCCTCCCCCTGTGACTTCCTCTCACATATTTATACATGGCTATCATATCTCCTCTCAGCCTTCTCTTCTTCAGGCTAAACATGCCCAGCTCCTTAAGCCGCTCCTCATAGGGCTTGTTCTCCAGACCTTTGATCATCTTAGTCGCCCTCCTCTGGACACAGTCTAGCTTCTCAACATCTCCCTTTAATTGTGGTGCCCAGAATTGGACACAATATTCCAGGTGTGGTCTAACCAAGGCGGAATAGAGGCGTAGCATTACTTTCCTAGATCTAGACACTATGCTATTGATGCAGAATTCTGGCTACTGCAAAACCAACCACCTGTTCTCTTGATCCGTGTCCCTGATCAAGAGCTGCTTGGAAAGTCTACTTGATCCGTTGTGCAGTATAATCAATGGGGGTTTTTTCCAGACAACCTAAAAGAGGCAAGGGTTCATCCCTTGTTAAAGAAACCTAGCTTGGATCCTACGACCCTTGCCAATTACCGTCCTCTTTCTAATATACCATTCTTAGGTAAGGTGATAGAGCGGGCTGTACTGATCTCCGATAGATCCCCCTCCTATGTGGGGTCCCCCAGGTGCAATTTTCTCTCCTCTTCTCTTCAACATCTACGTTAGACCCCTTGCTAGTTTGGCTTGGAGTTTCGGCCTGGACTGCTACCAATATGCGGACGATACCCAACTCCTTCTGCACCTGGAGCCTGGAGCAACATCAATTCCAGACAATTTCACCCTATATCTGGAAGCTCTGTCGAACTGGCTACGTGCTAGCAGACTGAAGGTGAACCCGACGAAGACTGAGATTCTCTGGCATGGCCGCCCGGCAGGTCTCACTCATCCGTTACCCACCTTCGATGGTGCCGCCCTATCTCCATTGACCACTGTTAAGAGCTTAGGTGTCATCCTGGATTCGCAGCTGACAATGGAAGGCCAGGTTACTGCTGCCAGCAAACAGGCCTTTTTCCATCTACGACAAGCGAGGCAACTGGCACCCTACCTATCTGACGAGGCTCTGGCAACTATCATCCATGCCACGATCACATCTAGGCTGGACTATTGCAACGCCCTGTATGTTGGCCTTCCGATGTATACGACCCGAAATCTCCGTATTGTTCAGAATGCGGCAGCCAGGTTACTCACAAGAATGCCCATGAAATGCCATATAACACCAGTGCTGCAACATTTACATTGGCTTCCAACTGAGTACCATGGCCTGTATAAGATGTTAGTTCTGACCTTTAAAATTCTTTACGGCCAGGGTCCATCGTACCTTAGGGACCGCCTCTCCTTCTCCCATCATCAGAGGTCGCAACAACCAGCCCAACGCAACTTACTCTATATACCGGGTCCTAGAGAAGTGCACTTGGAAAATACCAGACGCAGGGCTTTTTCTATTTCTGCCCCTGCCTTATGGAATTCCTTGCCACCCTATATGAGAGCCATGTGTGACTTAGGGTCTTTTACTCTAGCACTTAAGACCTGGCTTTTTACTAGAGCATTCGATCTCTGTTAATTTTTAAATTCTGTATGTATGTATTTTATCTTTTATAATTTAGCTGTAAATCGCCTAGAGCATTCTCGGATGGAGGGCGATTAATAAGTAATTAAATATGATGATGATGCAGGCCAAAATTCCATTGGCTTTTTTTGCCGCCACATTACATTGTTGGCTCATGTTTAACTTGTTGTCCACGAGGACTCCAAGAGCTTTTTCACACATACTGCTCTCGAGCCAGGCGTCCCCCTTTCTGTATCTTTGCATTTCGTTTTTCCTGCCAAAGTGGAGCATCTTGCATTTGTCCCTGCTGAACTTCATTTTGTTAGTTTTGGCCCATCTCTCTAATCTGTCAAGATTGTTTTGAATCCTGCTCCTGACCTCTGGAGTATTGGCTATCCCTCCCAGTTTGGTGTTGTCTGCAAACTGGATGATCATGCCTTCGAACCCTTCATCTAAAGCATTAATAAAGTTGTTGAACAGGACCGGGCCCAGGACGGAACCCTACGGCACTCCGCTCCCTGTTTGGCCTTGAAATCTATTAGGTCATCTTAGGCTCTCTCAGCCTCAGAGGAAGACAGTTGCAAACCTCTTCTGAACCACTTTTGCCTAGAAAACCCTGTGATAGATTCACCTTAGGGTTGCCATGTGCTGTAAATGACCTAAATATGCACAACAATAACAACTACAACTAGCTACTACTAGGCCCCCAATGAATGTGACTACTAGTGATTCCCTACATACTGTCTGATGGTGCTCTTGATTGTTGTTGCTGTTTCAACAATTTCCAATGTCAGAGAAAGGAAGCTAGAATTAACATTTTTGGGAAAAAATGAAAAATGCAGTATTAGCATCCTTTCCAGGTTAAACGTTGCTTTGTGACTTTGGGAATATAAAATCCATTTATATTTATATATCTTGACCTGGCATAAAATTGCCATGTTGATATATTAAAATTATACATTATTCAGAGTATAATTACAAATCAAGCTTTCAAAACCTTTAATATTTTTGTTACAAATGGAGCTGCAGGAACCCGGTGTGGAAGGAACATCTGAACCATCAGGATCCTCTTTGTGTTTGCCAGTTTGAGGATGGACCAAACAAAACTCTTCTTAAAAGAAGGATATCATTAATGGTAGTAAAACAAATGAAATTATGTTTTCTCTTCTTGGACTTTATAGTGTCAAACAAACATAACACTGGCATTCCCATTAAAAAAACCGAGGAAAGGAAACCAAGAATTGTATTGATCTGATATTGTATATAAGCGTCTTCTTCTCACACAGTTGTTAGAATTGATTTGGGACAGTAAATATATGAACATTTCATCTTAAAATGTATTATTTCAGAATTCAAAGACTGAATAACCTATCAGGATGGGGGCTTTGGAGGAAAAAATAGCTGCTCCTGTAGGAGAGATGAAGCGGAATAATAATAAAAATAACAATAACAATAACGACAACAACAACAATAATAATAATATAGAAAAGCCAAGGTGTAAGAAGAGTTCACTTCTCCAGGCAGGAATCTTCCAAAAAATGATGATCCCTTCTTTCCCTGTACTGGTAATCCCCAATTGCTGCAGGGAGCCTGAGAAGCAATAACTCAAGTTTTCTTCTGTTTTTATTTTTAGTGCTGTTGGGAACCTTAAAGTAGTTGAAGTTCATTCAGGTGGCCATTATGTGAAGATTCTAAACACATCTCAAGATAAAGAAGAGGAGATTGGAAACCATACACTCCAGCAGAACCTCAATGGGCACCCAATAGCAGTTTACAAATTCCCTCCAAGGATCAGAATGATGGCCAACACTTCATTAATAGTGAGTGAAATAGAAAGGATGGGTTGAATTCTACTGTTAGAATGCAAAGTAATCTCCAGATTGACCATATGATTTATATTAAGTGCTAGCAACTCCGCCTATACCAGACACAAATGACTGGCCATTTATTTTGGTTGGAGGCATGGTGTAATTCTCACACCTTGTTATAGTTCCCAAATATTGTGCAGCAAACTGAACAAAACTAGCACAGGTCAATGTTGGTTTCAACCAACTCTAAAAGTACAATACCACCTTGTATCTGTGAGGGATATGTTTGTGGACTTCATATGGATATGTGAAACCATGGATAATAGTGAGTCCAGTTGAAATGAAGGATTTCTAGCCTAGTCATCCTGGAGGACCTTAAATGCCGAGAGAGGACATATTTTGTCAGGCATGGATACTGGATACTGGTCCCATAGTTATAGAGGTTTGTGTTGCAATCATAGCTGTAATCAGAAACTGCAATGTTGCTAGGCAATGTTTTAAGCCGAATCTCCTAGGGGAGAAGGGCGGGATATAAATAAAGATGATGATGATGATGATGATGATGGGAAGGTTCCCAAAGTGTGCTCTGCGAAGCCCTTGAGACTCTATGAGTGATTGTCAGGGGCTCTGCCTCAGGCAGTACTGTGTTTATTATTATTATTATTATTATTATTACTATTATTATTATTATTATTATTATTATTATTATTATTATTTATATACCGCTCCATCTCTCCGAGGGGACTCAGAGCGGTTCCCAGGAAACATCACAAAACATACAAAGTAAAAAAACAACATAACCATAAGATTAACAAAACAAAATATAAGCATAAAAATGTCGCCATAACACACATTTATTAAAAGAATCCTGCCTGTTCAAGGCAATAAAAAAATTTAAAAGGCCGGGCCAAGATTTGTGTAAGCCCAAAAATTCTAGGGGGGCCAGGAATTCAGTGCAATGCTATGGCAGGCAACAATAATATTAGGTGCGGGTCTGTGGCTGTTCATTCCGGGGCTGATTAGAGGAAATGATCTGGGTAATTGGTAGGAAGAATAAGGCCGTATTCAACAATGTGTAGGGCTGAGTTAGAACTGGTCATTTTCAAAGGCTTGTTGAAACCACCAGGTCTTCAAACTCTTACAAAAGGAGGGGAGGGATGGTTGCTTCCCTTCTTCTCCTCCTCCCTCCTCCCTCCTCCTGCTTCCCAGGCCATACCTTATTATGTCAGAATATGTTAAAGTATGCAAGGTGTTTTAAATGTAATTTCATGTAGTTGTAATATGGATGCCACAAGATTGTATGTTTATGTTTGAGGCTGTGAGATAGTAGCCCTGAGATACTCTCTGAGCTGAGTTGTAAGAGAAATTAGGGAGTATCTGATATCTGCCAAGCAGCCTAGCAGCTGCAGAATTGTTTACTTTTCTACTTCCTTTGTTCTGCCTACTGAGTACTTCATGTTTTGTTGCTTACTGGAATGGATGTGTTTTGAACTGCTCTGAGTAAATTGAACCTGCTTTGTAACCAGAAGTCTCCAGAGTCCTTGATTTTTACCAAACCTGTGTAAAACTTCTGCACTAAACGCCAACATATTATTCATACCATATACATATTGTATGTAATATTCCTCATAGAACATAGGCAGATAGCACTAAACATTAAATATTTTGGGGGGCTCTGTGAGAAACTTTTGCTTTAAAATGGACTCCTTGGTTGAAAAAGTTTAGGAAATCCTGTTCTGTTCTACTCTTTAATAATTCATTAACAGAGTAACATCCTTGTGGGTCAGAAACCTGACTAGAAATTTCCTATGTTTATGCTGGGAATTGTACTCCCAAAGCACAGAAATAGGTAACGTGTAGTTTACATAGTTACACCACTGTAGGAGGAGGTACCAGTATAGAAGACAACACAGTGACAGAAGTAAAATTGCCACAGGGACTTTGATAACAGTAGGCTGTTTTTATCTGAGGAAAAGGTTGGTCTGCGAGCTCCCAATTAGGATGGGAGTTGGTAGCGCAACTTTATCTTGTTTTCCCTGCTGGCCACTCCACCCAGAACATGTTGTGTTTTACTTTAAAAAGTGCCTTGATGGCTTGTTACAACAGCCTACACCACCAGTAGGATTGTACCACCCACCCTCCCAAACTAACTTTTTCAAGATCTGCACAATATATACCGGTTCTTGTAGTCATAGCCCATTGGGAAGTCAGACTTGGCCACGGTGGTCCACACTCTCGTTACATCTAGGATAGACTACTGCAACACACTCTATGTAGGGTTGCTTTTTGAAGACTGCTCGGAAGCTTCAAACAGTCCAAAGAGAGGCAGCCAGGTTAATAACTGCAGCGGCCTACAGAGAGCATACAAACTCCCATGTTACGCCAGCTCCACTGGCTGCCAGTTTGCTACCAGGCACAAATTCAAAGTGCTGGCTTTGGCCTATAAAGCCCTAAATGGCCCCAGCTCAATTTACCTGTCTGAACGCATCTCCCCCTATGAACCATCACGAAGATTAAGATCCTCCGGGGAGGCCCTGCTCTCTGTCCCCCCATTGACACAGGCGTGATTGATGGAGACGAGAGAGATGGCCTTCTCGGTGATTGCCCCCCGCCTATGAAACTCCCTTCCTGGTGAGATTAGATTGGCCCACTCCCTCCTATCCTTCAGAAGGATGGTAAAAGCTTGGCTGTGGGACCAAGCTTTCAGGACAGTGCAATAAGGCAGCGATAGGAAACTTTACCAGGCCAATTTAGATATGACACAGATGACCAAGACAGTTTTAAATGGTATATTTTAATATTTTGATAAATGTTTTTAATGTTTATGTATGAATTCTTGTTTGCCATATATATGTTTGCTGTGCTCCGCCCTGAGTCCCCTTCAGCATAGGAAGGGCGGAATATAAATGTTTTAAATAAATAAGTAAGCTTCTTTTGATAAGGAAAATTCACTTCTGGTAAAGTGGGTAGAAAATAGAAAAGCAAATGGAAGTTAAAACACCACCTTTGTCTACCATTTCCCTGTTATCTCCTCATTAACTACCTATATTTACCATGCTGTGGGAGAAAACCCATCTGAAGAAGAGAGATTTGGATCTGGGAAACACTGCTACTGTCCATCATTCCCCTGGAGGCAGGGACTCTACTTACTATATATTTATGTTGTGAAGAAATCTGAGGGATAGTTTTGTGTTGCTTTATTGTCTTATCTGTTGTGTCAGGTGTGGGCTGCTTGTTCTAAAATGCCGCATAAGCCTCCAACTGACTACCTCTGGAAGGATATGGAGAAATTTAAGCCAGGACCAGCATGCACCACAATCCTTTGCAATCCTACTGGGCAGGTAATTATTATTATTATGTCCACCTCCTATTTCTGATCCAGCAGGCTATAAATCACCTTTGGTGATTTTCCCCAATCCCCAAATTGGTAGCATTACAAAGTGAGAGACTGCAAATCATTTCACCCTTGAATTCATTTTTTCTCTCTTTGCAGCCCTTTGGTGACTTTCTGTGTTTTTTTATTTTTATTTGGATACCCAAATTATGTTTCTAAATTCTCAGGTGAAATTTTGTATTGTTACATTGCTAGAAAGGAAGTTTCATGATGGTATTGCAGAAATTCTTATTGGAGGGCCAATGTCCTCATTCCCCCTCCCTGCAATATCTACACTTCTGTAAGAACCATATTTTTTTCATTTCAAAGTTGTAGTGATTAAGGAAGCAGCTTCAGGCAAACAGAAGTTAGGCAGGCACAGTGAGCTGAGGTGAAAGCATTGAAGTAGGCACATTGCAGTCCAATTGTAGTATATTTTGTTTGAAGGATCAGATGGTAGATAATGGGAAATTCATTTTCAGAAACCCTGGATAGATACTGCCAAGTCAAGAGTAAGCAATTCTAGGCTACATGGACAAATACTTTGACCTTGTTGCAAACCAACTGCCTTTCATAATGTTATATTACTGAATGCCATACTTTCTTCTCCCACAACATTCTGGGATGTTTTGCTTAGAAACTGTCAGAAATCCTTTCAATCCTATCTTTACACATATCAGTGAAATTATTGAATTTATTGAGCAGCCTGAAGAACATTCAGATACTTTTTCAGTCCCCTATTCACTCATCCTTAGTACTTGCTGTGCGGTATAGTGGATCTTTGATATCTATTGGCATTTGCTTCCATGATTCTCTGTAGATACCAAAATCTGTGGATGCTTGCGAGGAAGCCGTGTAATTATCAATACCAACTTAAGAGCTGGTTGTCAAGGGACCACTAATTAAGGAAGGTTTATTTATTTTTGATAGCGTAGCTTACGTTTAATAACCCTAATTTGGTCCTTCTTGTGCAGGGCTGTTTGGCTTAGAAGAAACTGTATTTATTTATTTGCTTTATTTCTATACCGCATTTTTCAGCCTAGATTAGGCGACTCAATGCGGTTTACACAGTGCAAGTAATATACAGTTAAAAACACATCACACATTACAACAAAATCAACAATTATTATCAATTCCTTATCAATTCATGACGCCTCAACAGAACAAGATCCATTCTCATAATCCTTGTGCCATTCCTATGTTCAATTTTACTGACTTCCTGTGTTCAGTTGTTCAGTTGCACTGATTAGCCAAACGTTTGCTCGTAGAGCCAAGTCTTGACCTTCCTCCGAAATGCCAGCAACGAGGGGGCCTGTCTGATGTCAACCGGTAGGGCATTCCATAGCCGAGGGGCCACCAGACAGAGAAGGCCCTGTCTTTCGTTCCCGCCAATCGTGCCTGTGATGCAGGCGGGACCGAGAGCAGGGCCTCCCCGGACGATCTTAATGTCCGCGCCGATTCATAGGAGGAGATGCGTTCGGAGAGGTAAAAGGGGCCAGAACCGTTTAGGGCTTTGTAGGCTAATGCCAGCACCTTGAATTGTGCCCGGTAGCAAATTGGCAGCCAGTGGAGCTGGCTCAACAGAGGAGTGGTATGCTCCCTGAGTGCCGCTCCTGTTAACAACCTGGCTGCCAAGCGCTGGACCATCTGAAGCTTCCGGGCAGTCTTCAAGGGCAGCCCCACGTAGAGCGCGTTGCAGTAATCTATGCGGGATGTAACCAGAGCGTGGACTACCGTGGCCACTGTATCAGAGGCAAGGCTTGAAAAAAAACAGTAACACGTTTATTGGAATAAAACAGGAGTAGAATAGATTCAATGTTACTTCTCTCTAGAGGCACAAACTTAGCTGGTTACATTTATAGGGTTTCTTGAATGACTCTAGGCACTAAAGAGATTTCAAAAGATTTCTTTAGGCAGATGTAATACAAATAGGCTAAGTGGCTTATTTAGCAGTATTGGCTCCAAGCCAAATATTGATTCTTATTCAAAGAATCAGTCCTCCCTGTGTTCTATCACCACAGGATTCCTGTTGGATTTCCACTTCCACACAGGATCAACTACCTCTGTAGTTGACAACTACAGATAGGTTCCTTGATCCTCTCACTAGAGAATCCTCTCCTGTAACTTTCCAGTTACAAGCTGCTGATTTACAGATCAGTCCTATTCTGTAACTCTCCAGCTACAGACTGACTACTTTCAAAAAGCTGCGCTGCCAAGAGGCAGTTGGCAGTTGGCTCCGCCCCTGTTACTATGGCAACTCAGCTTAAGGCAAGCCAAGCCAGTCACCATCCCTAATAAAATACAATTCTACATACTTACCATTACTAACTATTGTCTAAACACTACATGACTATAGGAATAAAAATACACATCTTCACAATGCTCAATACACATTACTTAAAACAACAACAACAATAGTTTTATTTCTTGCCTGCCTCTTCTCACGGCTCAAGGGTTACAGCATTACTAAAACATGAACAAACATAATCATTTTAAAAGACTCTGTAAATTGAACACATTAAAACATACCTCCAAAAATACAGATCAAATACACAAAACAAAAATCAGATATACAGTGGAGTTTAAAATTCACCATTAAAACTATATGGGTAGGCCTGTCAGAAGAGATATATCTTCACTTGTTTCTTAAATTCTGACTGTTGATGAAGCTGTTATAGCTCTACCAGCAGGGTTGTTCCACATTGTGGGGCAGCTGGTGAAAAGGTCCTCTGGGTGGTGATTGCCATTCGGGTTTTGACTAGTTGGAGTAACTGCCCCCCAGAGAACCTAAGTGCTCAGCTCCAACAGTAGATGAAGTATTCCACAAAGAAATTGAAAGATGTTCTACTTATTTTAGTAAAAATCCACACCAGACAACGGAACAAGATCAAAACTAGGTCCCTTGGGAAGATGTTTACAACTGTTCATATTTTTCACATATTTTCCTGGGTATCAGTGTCCTGCATTTTTGCTCTTCCAACAAAAAAGTGTAGAACAAACACATACTAGTATGTTATAAAACCAAGCTGTGCTTCTCATTATAAACATCCATACTGTATATATGTTTTTAATCACCTGTTGACATAATAACCCATGAATTTCACAGGGTTTTCAGGAGAAAACTGGTTTTGCCAGTTCCTTCCAGCCATTTATTTTATTTTAGTGGTTCGAGTGGATTTTTTTTGTGCAGAAGAGTGAATGAATCATACTAGGAACTTAGCTCCAAATGCCCATACAAAGGTTTTCCTCTTATTCAGATTACTAATACACTTCAGGACTTTTTTGTTGTAGCCAAAACGCATACTTAGAACGTATATTAAAGATTTATCCATCCCAACAAAAAGAAAATTGAAAGATGTTCTGGAAGAGTTCCATGGGGATGGTGTCCTATCGAAATATAACCCAGAACAGCCTACTGACTATGAAGGATTCCAGTTTTCATGAGAACATATCTGGAGGTCAAAATTCCTGAAGAGCTCTGCCAACACGTCTTCACGTCCTTCAACAAAAAAAATGTTTTTTGTTTGAGAGCCAACAGAGCCAGCAGCAGGGTTGACAGCTCAGCAATCTTAGGGTCAATGAGAAAACTCTCAACTCCATGAGAAGTCACATACCTGAGTCCAAACCTGGCAGAGCAGCAAACAACCTTCTTATCTTCCACTCCAACCAATAACAATGCCCTTTGGAACCCCTCACCAAGCTGGTCCAGGTCATCATCACAGAAATCCACTGCCAGTACCCTCCCTGTTCACAATTCCTCAGAGTCCTCCAAGATCTCCTCAGGTTCTCTGCTAAGCCCACAATCCCCAGGCTACAAAAGCTTGGAGAAGAAATTGCTGTTCAGCTTCCGAAAAAAACACATCTCCCTAAAAACAGCCGGTCCACAGCCGCCAGCCCCTTCATTGACTGAGCTAGTCTAGCTGAAGGACATTGTCTGCTCCCTGTCACTGCTGGAAAAGGGATGGGCTGAGGATAAGCTGGAGTTTATGTTTCGACTGTACGACACAGATGGCAGTAGCCCCCTGGCCAGCTCAGAGCTGGATCGTATTAACAATCAGATGGTTCACGTTTCAGAATACTTGGAGTGGGACTCCACTGAACTAAAACCAATCTTGAAAGAGATGATGGACTATGATCATGATGGAACTGTGATGCTAGAAGAGTAGATTCGGGGTGGCCTGAGCACCATCCCCTGCTGGTTTTGCTGGGCATGAAAACAATGAGGTCTTGGCCTGATGTCAGAGAATATAGCCTACTGCAGTGGCTCTCAACCTGTGGGTCCCCAGGTGTTTTGGCCCACCACTCCCAGAATTCTCAGCCAGTTTACCAGCTGTTAGGATTTCTGGGAGTTGAAGGCCAAAACATCTGGGGACCCACAGGTTGAGAACCACTGACCTACTGGAAGCATTGAACTGAAAACGATATTCATCTCTAGCTAGAGAATTAGTAACAACGTCCTCTTCTCAGGTTGATTTATACAGCAATTCAGTTTCATTTGGGTTTTGCACCCAAACATATTGTAAAGGCACATTTGGGGCTCCAAAAATACAGTAAGTCCCCTGAAACCATTGTTATGACCTAAGACTATTAAATTATACCACTTCTGGTACTGAGTCACTCTTTAGGACCTAGAAATTCTGTTGGCCTTTAAACTCATAAATTTTAATTAATTTTATACCTTTTATCTTGATATGTTTTGTTCCGTTCGTTTTTTAAAGTTATGTGTGAAACTGTAATTTTGCTGTCATTGTCCAATTTTGTAATGTCTTTATTATTCTCTATGGGGATGTTGATTTGGTTTGTGGGATTTAGGGTGGTTTTGGTTATTTTATTTTTGTCTAGTACTTTATAGCATTAAATATTTGCCGATATTTGTTGTAAACTGCCCCGAGTCCCTACAGGGAGATAGGGCGAGATATAAATAAAGTTTTATAATAATTATTATTATAGGTATGCGGGGCGGATTGTACAGGAGGAGAACAATGTAGCAAAATGGTGTGTCTAATATAAAATGGCAAAATCAAAGTTTGCTTTTCGGAATTGAAAAAAATATATTTTCAAGCCATGGTTACTATAGTGGTTTGAAAATTGGTAACTTTTATCTCTTCCTTCAGGCTGTCGCTTGGTACACTCCCATAAACTGGAACCAAAAGCAAACAAAGGAAGATGAAGAAAACAGTAAAATCAGTAACAACCTTACACAGCCCATTAGTGGAGTTCAACAGCAGCAAGACCGGTGGGAAACTAGGGCATTTGACTCATGGCGAGGAAGTGACACTCAAAGTAATACAAAGGGGAATGAACCAGAATTTATTTCAAGGTAAATTTCTTGGATAAATTGACTTATTACGTAGGGGTCCATAGTAGATGCAAGCCTGTACTTCACAGGAGCTCCCCAGAGGATGGTGTCAAGAACAAACCAAGACGAACGCAAGCAGAATACTGACACTGGATGTTTCTTACTCTCATTAACTCTGTCAGAGTATCTGATTAGAGGACATCTTTAAAAATCTTCATCCATTTGTCCCCTCGTTAAGGATAAGGCATCTACATCTTTTGGAAAAAGTAGTCTTTGTTATGGGAAACTTGGATTTCCTTGAATCAAGTCTCAAATGAGCAATATCAGCAAAGCCCATAAGAGAAGATGTCAGCATTTTGCCATTGTCTTTTGACACTAATATTTGAGGTTCTATAACAGCTTATTTTAATACAGGGATCCCCAAACTAAGGCCTACAGGCCAAATGTGGCCCTCCAAATGTTTCACTCGTCCCCTGCCCTAAACAAAGTTTGAAACAACATAAAAGCACACAACAACAACAAAATCCTAATGAAATTGACCATTTTATCAGCTAAAAGCAGCCCCACACTTCCAATTGAAATACTGGTAAGTTTATGTTAGTTAAAAAAAATTCTTCATTTTGAATACTGTGTTTTTCTTTCATTTTTTGCACTACAATTCAGGTATGTGCAATGTGCATAGGAATTTGTTAATTTTTTTCAAACTATAGGGGGATCATGAACTGGCCCTCTGTTCAAAAAGTTGAAGAACCCCTGTTCTAATAGTTATTATTAAAATAAACCTTCCATGAGAACTTTTTTTTGTCACGTCAGGAGTGACTTGAGAAACTGCAAGTCACTTCTGGTGTGAGAGAATTGGCCGTCTGCAAGGGGACATCTGGATGTTTTGATGTTTTATCATCCTTGTGGGAGGCTTCTCTCATGTCCCCACATGAGGACCTGGAGCTGATAGAGCTGTGGTTCTCAACCTGGGGTCCCCAGTTTACCAGCTTTTAGGATTTCTGGGAGTTGAAGGCCAAAAACATCTGGGGACCCCAGGTTGAGGACCACTGAGGGAGCTCATCCACGCTCTCCCCGGATTCGAACTTGCGACCTTCAGTCCTACCGGCACCGGGGTTTAACCTACTGCGCCACCGCATGAGGACTTAAAAGTGGTGTGAATTATGCATTCAGTGGCAGGCCTGTAGCCGGGGGGGGGGGGGGGGGGGGGGGGTAGGGGTTCACCCCACACCCCCGAAATTTTTCAGGTTTTAAAAAAACCTGGTTTACTCATGAATTTTAACTGGTTAACCAAATCCCCATGCTAAGTCTATGAGACGCAAAAAATTAAGAGTCCCTCCAGAACTGCAAGCACTATCTCAAGCAAATATTGACAATTTATTCACACTGTCATTACTTGCAGCAATAGCCGATGTAGCAAAGCAACCAAGTTGGGGGGGGGGGGTGTTGAATGCTCTCATTAAGGAGGCCAGACTTGGTGGAGGTGGTTGACAGGGGTGGAGCTGCAGGCTATTGAAGGCTGCTCTGCCCCCTGCTGTGCTCTTTGCTTCAGCGTGAGCTAGGAGGCAGGTTTCAACCCCCCCCCCCCAAATTTTCAACCTTTTCAACCCCCTACCCCCCCCCCATTTTTTTCTGGCTACGGCCCTGGTCCTTCCAGGCATTTTTGAGGTCCGCACTATTTAGCTTCAGCTATGTTTCTGGATTTTTCACTGTAGCAGAATTAGCACTGTAGAGACAATCAAAGAGAGAATATATTGATGCTCAGGAAAGGGAGATACAGCCTCTACAATGAGTATTTAAGTAGTCTGTCCAAAATGAATAGTTGCTAGTCCAGTATCAGTGTGTCTCTTTAGGCTACATGCTTTCCTTCAAAGGAAGGAATTCTTTTAAAATGGGGTGATTTTTTCCCCAGCTCTGAAAGATTTTCTGGTACTGTTCCATTATCCTGGTGGAGGCCAAAAGTGGTTTTCCTGTTATTCCCCCCACCCATGTTGCTGTCAAAGAAACAACCCACGTTTATGAAATGGGAAGCAGGGAAAAGTTATAGCAAGCAAAAATGGGGGGAATGCTTTTCCTACTTCAACTCCCCCCCCCCCCCCCAATAAAATGGACGATCCTTCTCTGTCTAGCTCCCCCTTTTGGCCTCCACCCGGATAATGGACCAGTACTGATTTTCTAAATGAACACTTTTCTTTTTATTTATCCAGAGAAGAAAAGATACTGCCCACCCTGTTCCCTGTTCAAAATCCTTGGTGTCGTAGTCCAAACTCATCCACACATCCTCACTATGTTCAGGAAAGATATATAGCCTTGGGCGACAAGAGCCACATGTACAGCCAAACCAGATCACAGCCAGTACGACCGGGTCCAGATCCTGGTGAGTTAAAGGGCTTTGATAGAGATATTATTTCTTGTTTTTCTTTCCTTTTTCAAAACGTACTGACAGTAGGTAGTATTTACCATGGGTGACAGGAGTGAAAGTTTTCTATCAGAGCTTCCTCTTGCATCAGGCTTGTCAACACTTATTGGTAACACTTCTCTTGTGTTGGTACAAGATGTTTGCTGTTAGGAGCCTCTTCTGGAGAGTTAAAATGAAAGATGAGGTTTCATCAGGAGAGGCCCATTTTGTCGATTGCTTTGTTAATGAGGCAAGTGCGAAGAAACTGCAAAGGGGCTGCAAACATCATGGGGAGATGCCAGCAAAAGGTTTTGTTGTCTGTGGAACTGCATTTCATCAGGAAGGATTAAAAGGAACAGAATGCATGTCACATCACTATTTTAGGTTCAAATTGATGAGCATACCAGAGAAGAAGAGACTGATTGCAACCCTCTCTGAAAACACAGCTCTGGTGTGTAGTGTGTGTGTGTGTGTGCGTGCGTGCGTGTGTGTGTGTGTTAAACAGTGGGAGGAAGACAGAATGCTGATCCTTACTCTATTTCCTGTATAACTTTTTGCCTTCCACAGGATGTATCCACACTGCACTATTATAGCAATTTGATATCATTTTACTTGATGCAGCCTGATCCTGTGGAATCTTGGGACTTGTAGTTAGGTGAAATATTTCTGTAGGTCCTTGAATTATAGGGGAAAGGTAAAGGTTTTCCCCTGACATCAAGTCCAGTCGTGTCTGACTCTGGGGTGTGGTGCTCATATCCATTTCCAAGCCGAGGAGCTGACGTTGTCTGTAGACACCTCCAAGGTCGTGTGACTGCATGGAGTGCCGTTACCTTCCCGCCGGAATGGTACCTATTGATCTACTCATATTTGCATGTTTTCAAACTGCTAGGTTGGCACGAGAATTATAGCCCTAAAGTTTTCTGGCAGATAATTCTTGCTGCTTCTTAACCTACAAGTCCCAGGATTCCATTAGATCTGTGGTTCCACAACCTTTGGTCATCTAGTTGTTTTGGATTTCAACTCCCAGAAATCCCAGCTAGCTTACCAGCTGTTAGGAATTGTGAGAGCTCAAGTCCAAAAGATCTGGAGGACCAAAGGTTGTGGACCATTGGATTAGATGGAGTCATGGCAATTGAAGCAATAGCATGGATTCACCCTCAGTTTAGCCTGGACTCAGAAGTTAATACAGCAGAGATAACAACAACCTAAGAGAATAGGTTTTAAGGGAAATAATCTAGAAAGAATCCAGCTCTCCTCACCTAGTATTATTCAATTTAAATACTAGACTTGGTTGATCAAGAAAAAATTTGGTTCTAAACTCATTTCGTATCTAGGGGGCGCCAGCATTTCTAATCTGAGAGGATTTCCGAAATTTCCAATTTTAAAATTTCGATATTTACGAAATTTTGTAAATATACGAATCGATTCGTTAATGGCGGACACGATTGCGCAATAAAAAACCTCCAAACGGGACAGGGGGAACTTCTGAAGCTTCCCTCTCCCTCTGTTGTTGACTGTTGGTGATAAAACTAACAACTAACCAAAACCAAACTATATTATATTATATTATATTATTATAATATTATTATATTATATTATTGTATATTATATTATATTATATTATTATATATCATATATTATATAATTATATTATAATATTATTATTGTATATTATATTACATTACAATATATTATATTATAATATATTATAATATTATTATTGTATATTATATTATATTATAATATATTATAATATTATATATTATATATATTATATAATATATTATTATTATATTATATTATATTAAATTATTATATTATAATTGCCTGCGGGCTGATATGGGTGGGATATAAGTGATGTAAATAAATAAATAAATATATTATATTATATTATATTATTATATTATTGTCGTGGACCAGATGCCTTAAAGGAGCCAGACACAAAAATAAAGGTCCAAACAAAGTTTAATAACACATCAAAAATAGCTACAAACACTTAATTCAGCGTATCTAACAAGAACTTAAAGTCTGTAGCAAATTGGTGTGCAAAAAGTAACTTTGCAAATAATCCGGATTATACTGGTATATAATCTGGGAATAACAGAAACTTCAAGCAAATGGCTTCAAAATCACAGAGGTGAGAAAACACAAGGAAACCAGGTGTAAGCAAACAAAAGTGTTGTCAAAAAACAGTCCCAAGTCGTGTAGCACATCCAAAAGCAGAAGATTAAGTACTTACAGGATTCTAGTCTTAGGAGCACAATAACTCTTGTTTACAAGGGTTTGAAATAGCTTCTCTGTAATAACCCAGCTAAACTTCCTGGGAGGTTAAAACTATTATTATTATATTACTATATTATATTATATATTATATTATTGTATATATTATATTATATTATATTATTATATACAATATATTATGTAATTATATTATATTATGATATTGTATATTATAATTGTATATTATTATATATTATATTATATATTATATTATTATTATAATATTATTATATTATATTATTGTATATTATACAATATATTATAATATATATAATATATAACCCAGCTAAACGCCTTCCTGGCCCAGCAGCTTAAAACTTTTATTATTATATATTATATTATAATATTATTATTAAGAATGGATGGCCGTCTGTCAGGGGTGCTTTAATATACAATTATATTAATATAATATAATAATATACAATTATAATATAATATTATAATATAATATAATATACAATAATATAATATAATATATGTAATAATAATATTATAATATAATATAATATACAATTATAATATAATATAATATAATAATATAGTAATATAATATATAATAGGAAGGAAGGAAGAGGAAGGGAAGGGAAGAGACTGTACATATAGCTCTCTCTTCTCTCAGGTTTCCTCTAGCATCTCCTCTCTAATCCGATTTAAATCCTGGCGAAGAAGGACTCCAGGAGAAAGAGGAGGGAGGGGGGAATGTGGGATTTGCCAGCTGGAAGGAAGGAAAGAAGGAAAGAAYGAAAGAAAGAAGAAAGAGGAAGGGAAGGGAAGAGACAGTACATATAGCTCTCTCTTCTCTCAGGTTTCCTCTAGCATCTCCTCTCTAATCCGATTTAAATCCTGGCCAAGAAGGACACCAGGAGAAAGAGGGGGGAGGGGGAATGTGGTATTTGCCAGCTGGAAGGAAGGAAGYAAGGAAGGAAGGAAGGAAGGGGAAGGGAAGGGAAGAGACAGTACATATAGCTCTCTCTTCTCTCAGGTTTCCTCTAGCATCTCCTCTCTAATCCGATTTAAATCCTGACGAAGAAGGACGCCAGGAGAAAGAGGAGGGAGGGGGGAATGTGGGATTTGCCAGCTGGAAGCTAGCTCTCTCTCTCTCCTTTCTCCTTCTCTGAGGTTAAAACTATTATTATATTATTATTATTAGATATTATATTATATATAATATTATATATTATTGTATATTATATTATATTATATTATTATATTATTATAATTGTATATTATTATATTATATTATATCTTTCCTCTTTGCATTGGTGGCTTTGCGAGGTGGGCATGGTGGGAAGGTGGTTGCAAGGTGGGAAGGAAAGCTGAGGGAACAGCTGTTCCTGAAGGCCACGCCCCCAACATTTACGATTCACTGGGGGAGTCGTATGGAAGATGGCGGACGCGGCTTCGATATGGCAAAAACACTTCTGGGTTGCTAAAACGCGTTGATATCGCGTCTAAAGGGTTAAAAATAACGACTTAATAACGAGATAAGAAATTAACGAACTGGATCAACCAAGTCTACTGCCTAGAACACTCCATGAAATTTAGGGTTGACATAAGTTAGAAAAGACTCGAAAGCACATAACTACTACTACCACCACCACTACCAGAAGAAGGATTGATTGACCAGACCAGTGGTCTCATGCCAAATGCCTTACTCGGTTTCGGATTTCTATTGGTTTTCAATGAGACATGGAAACACACCTGTAATTAATGTTGGGAGGTAAGCAATTGCTTTTAAGGAGTTTATGTTGTTGTTTTGCTTTTCAGGAATAGGGACTGTAACAAGGTTACTTTTCAAATGTCATCCCAATCATTACTTTACATCCTGTCTGTTTCCCAGATTATTATTATTATTATTATTATTATTATTATTATTATTGCTATTATTTTATTTTATTTTATTTATATTCCACCTTATCTCCCCAAAGGGGACTCAAAGCAGTTTGACATAAAAGCATTGGTATCCAATTAAAAATATACAAACATTAAAAGAGAATCCAACACAAACAGCATTTAAAAAATTAGTTAAAGACCATCAGAACATTAGAACTCAATGCATCTTACAACAGTTAAAAGACCTAGCAAAAACATTTACTGAATGCGAAATTTATAAATAGAATTTAAGCTTCCATAATATTAAACAGATTTTGAAAATAACAATTAAAATGACAAATAAAACATAGTACAGCAAACTCTTCAAGCCTCATCTTAAACAGGCTGAATCTACATTGCCATAGAAAGTGCAATAAAGGTACTGTCTGGATGGGCACCTAGTCTCCAGGACAGCAGAAAACAAGCTTGCCCCCTCCTCCCTATGATTTCCCCTCACATATCTATACATGGCCATCATGTCTCCTCTCAGCCTTCTCTTCTTCAGGCTAAACATGCCCAGCTCTTTAAGCCGCTCCTCAGAGAGTTTGTTCTCTTGACTCTTGATCATTTTAGTCGCCCTCCTCTGGACACATTCCAGCTTGTCAACATCTCCCTTCAATTGTGGTGCCCAGAATTGGACACAGTATTCCACGTGTTGTCTGACAAGCATGACTTCCCTGGATCTAGACACTATGTTCCTATTGATGCAGGCCAAAATCCCATTGGCTTCTTTGTTGCCACATGGTATTGCTGGCTCATGTTTAAATTATTGTCCACGAGGACTCCAAGATCTTTTTCACACATACTGCTCTCGAGCCAGGCGTCCCCCATTCTGTATCTTTGCATTTCATTTTTTCTGCCAAAGTGGAGTATCTTGCATTTGTCCCTGTTGAGCTTCATTTTGTTAAGTTTTGGCCCATCTCTCTAATCTGAATTCTGCTCCTGTCTTCTGGGGCATTGGCTATCCCTCCCAATTTGGTGTTGTCTGCAAACTTGATGCCTTCTAACTCTTCATCTAAGTCACTCCACTCATCACTTCTTTCCAGGATGAAGAGGAAGTAATGGTGAAGACCCTTTAGGTTCGTCCGCTTAACCAATTACAGATCCACCTAACTGTAGTTTTGCCTAGCCCACATTTGACTAGTTTGCTTGCCAAAAAGTCATGGGGAACCTTGTCAAAGGCCTTACTGAAATCCAGATAGGCTACATCCATGGCATTCCCTGCATTTACCCAGCTTGTAACTCTATTGAAAAAAGAGACTAGATTAGTCTGGCATGACTTGTTTTTGATAAATCTGTGTTGACTATTAGCAATGACCACATTCGTTTCTAAGTTTGCAGACCACTTCCTTGATTATCTTTTCCAGAATCTTGCCTGGTATCAATGTGAGGCTGACCGGACAGTAATTGTTTGCGTCATCTTGAAGATAGTAACCACATTTGCCCTCCTCCCATCTGCTGGAGCTTCTACCATTCTCCAAGAACTCTCAAAGATGATTGCCAGTGGTTCTGAAATTACTTCTGATATTTCTTTCAATACTCTTGGGTGTAGTTGACCTGGCCCTGGGGACTTGAATTCGTTTAGAGTGGCCAGGTATTTCTGGATGACTTGCTTCCCTTTCTGGGGTTGGATTTCCCCTAATCCAACCCCAGAAGATGTCTAATCCATCTTGCTGAGGTTGAGGATGACTTTCTTTTAGTGAGAAGACTGAGACAAAGAAGGCATTAAGTAGTTCTGCCTTTTCCCTATCCTCTGTCAGCATTACCCCATCTTCTCCTTGCAGAGGCCCTATTGCCTCCTTGTTCTTCCTTTTTCTACTGATGTAAGCAAAGAAGCTTTTAAAAATTGTTTTTAATGTCCTTGGCAAGCCTGAGCTCATTTTGCACTTTAGCCTTGCAAACCTTTTTCCCTACAAGAGTTGGCTATTTGTTTGAATTCTTCTTTAGTGATTTCTCCCTTTTTCCACTTTTGGTGCACTTTTGAGTCTTTTAAGGCCCAGTTAGAAGTTCTTTGAACATCCATTCTGGCTTCTTTGCACTTGTCTTATTTTTCTCTTTGTCACCACTACCACTTGAATTCAGACTTGGGCTTATATAGCTTAAATAGGAAAAAACACTCACTCAACTAGTAGCTTAATGATAGCTCAATCACTCACTTAATTGCTGACGTAAAACTGTCAATCACTGCTGGCTGAAGAATTTAGCCTCGCCTTCAAACAAAACAAACACTCACACACCTTTCTGGTGCCCCTAGCAGAGAAATTAGCCTTAAACTACAGGAGTCCAGCATACGTTCAGATTTGTAATGCACTCTAAGACAAGGCTTACCTGAAGCAAAGGGAGCGAAGATGGCTTCTTGCTCCTCAACTTCTGTGGGAAGAGATAGGCCTTCAGATGTGTTTTAAATTCTCACAGCTGTTGGTGCTTTTCCAGCAGGACATTCCAAAGTCTTGCAGCGGCCAATAAAAAGATTGGTGATGGTCACCAATCGAGTTCTAGCTCATTGGAATAGCTGCCCCCCAGAGGACCTTAGTGTCTAAGATATACCATATGGGGAAAGGTGATCCTGTAGGTAACCTGTACTCAAACCATGTAGGCCTTTAAAGATCAAACCAATACTTATACTTTGCCTGGAAATGAATTGGCAGCCAGTGCAGTGACTTTAATATGGGTGTAATATGCTCACTTCTAGATGTTGCTATAACTAGTTTGGCTGCCATGTTTTGAATTCATTGGAGTTTCCAAGCTTGATATGGAGGTAGCCCAATGTAAAGTGCATTGCTAAAGTCCAATCTTGAGGTCTTTGTGGATTACCTCCCCCTTGCAGAATACACAAAACAGAGAAAGACTAGTAATTGCAAAATGCATCTTTCATTTTTCATTATTATTCAAAGTGTTTAAAGAGATGGTGCTTGTGAGCTTGCAGAAGCATTTCATTGCAAAGCCCCAGTAAGATGTTGAACTCACTGAGTTGCTCGACAATTCTGGAGGAAAAATTTAAATGGGACATGGACAAACAGGGGCAATGCACAGATTGAGAAGAGACAAGTCCTAGCAGTTGCATTAAGTGAAAAATACTTGCAGGTTTCTTCAAGCACTTGAGGAACAGATTAATCTGATAAGAGTAGCTACCCTAATGTGTTCCTGCTGAAACCTAGATGGGTTTGCCAGACCCATTTGTAGAGCCTTGTGTGGTAATATCCCGAACTTCCAGACTCAGGGCTGACACTGTGTTTGGAGAGTGGGATACAACCAGAACCTTTAGATTTTATGCTGCTCTCTGGTGAACCCTTTAAAAAATACATAAATATCAAAACGTAAGGAGGTTTAGTGGATGGAGGCACTTAAAGATTTTTATTGACATAGCAACATTCTATGGAATTCTTGCAGGATTCTTGGGGAATCAGTACAATTCTCTGGCTGAGAATTCTGTATGCCCCTCTCTAATCCAAATATTCCAATATTCCATTGGTTGTTACCCTGACAGTTAAAATAGAATATAGCATAATAGTTGTATAGTGAGAATAGGCCACTGGTTAATTCCTCCCTGCCTATTTCTGTAAAGAAAGACAGGGTTGTGTGTGTGGCAGGCCCCATTTCTTCAAGTGCCTTGATCTACTAAAGTTCATTAAAAATAAGGGTAGAGGCAAATATGAGTAATTTTATCCTTTAAGTGCTTAACAAACATGTCATATGTCAAGTTATAGTCTCATAAAAATCTCTCTCTCTCTCAGATGAGTTTAATAAAAATCCAAAAAGATTTATGCTGTCTGCAAAGTGGAGCATAATTTTATCTGTCTTAAAAGATCAAGAAACATACTTTTAGAATGTTTGAAGAGTGCGCTAGAAACTAAAATATTAAATCCCAAGCAACTCTGATTTTTTTTTTAAAAAAAGATTAATTTTCTGCTTACATTTTTGATATAACATTTGTCAAAAATGAGTTTTTCACCTACATCACTCTGCATATATAGAATAATTGAGTTGGAGATCTTCAGGGGATTCTAGCAATAGTCTAGCCTAGCCTCCTACCAGTTTAAAATCCTTGAGAGATGGTCATCCAAATTCTGTTTAAAAACCACCTGAGGATGAAAATCCGGCACCTTCCAATGTATTTCTTTATTTATTTTTATTTGCTATATTTGTATACCGCCCTTCTCAACTCCAAAGTTGAACATCTCTGGTCATCAGTGTTCTTCTTAATGTTTATTTGGACTCATTTGCTGCAATTTGAACCATTGATTTTACTAGAGCTGCTGAAAACAAATTCATCCCATCCTTCACACAACAGTCCTTTAGATATTTGAAGATATCTATCATATCACTTCTCTCCATGCTGTCCAGACAAAACATATCCAACTCACGCAACTGTTCCACACAGGGTTTAGTTTCCATATTAGTGGCCCATCTTTGTTCTACAGGATACAGCAGCATAACTTCCTTTTTTTCAAAACTTAATAAAACCCATTGTATGAATCAGATTTTTTTTATAATGTAGGCGCATAAGTAAAGTTTTGTTTTACGCAGTTTTGAAGATCAAATTAGGTAGGTGACGTCCCCCATTCTCCATACACTGAGTAAACTGATTTCTGGGGTTTGTCATGTCTCTTGCCAGCATAGCAGGCGTTATGCTGGCAATTTCTTCCTGGATGTTGGTCTTCAAATCTTGTAGGGTCCTTGGACGGTTCACATAAACACGGGATTTCAAAAATCCCCATAGAAAAAAATCACAAAGGGCCAAATCTGGAGAGCGGGCTGGCCACTCTAAATCCCCCCTAATTGAGATGAGGCGCTCTGGGAAGTGTTCCTTCAAAACAGCCATCAATGCTCTTGAAGTGTGTGCAGTTGCACCGTCTTGTTGGAACCAAATCTCCCCTAAGTCCAACCCGTCTAGCCGTGGAAATTTTTTTTCCTGTAACATGTTTACATTCACTGTCACTGCGACTTCATTTTCCTCAAAGAACCAGGGACCAATAATTCCAGCTGAGGAAATTGCACCCCAGACTGATTTTAGGTGAATGCAAAGGGCTTTGATACAACTATCAGGGATTGTTGTCAGCCCAGTAGCGCATGTTTTGTTTGTTGACGGATCCACACAAATTAAAATGGGCTTCATCACTAAAAAAAAATAGCATCCTCAGGAACGACTTCGAGAAGAACCTCACACACATTCCTCCGAGAACTGAAGTCATGTTCAGAAAGTTCCTGCACAATCGCCATCTTGTAAGGATGGAAATGAAGATCATCATAAAGAATTCGCCTCACAGAACGATTGGAAAGGGCAGACGCATGTTTGTTGAGTCCCCCTAGGGGTGAGAAAAGCGGTATATAAATACTGTAAATAAATAAATAAATGTTTGTGCACAGACTGCCGTGGTGATTGCAACATTGAAGCTCTCACTGCCTCAATGTTCTCAGGTGATCTAATGGGCCGAGGGACTCCAGTTCTTCGTCTTGTCGCACTTGCAGTTTGTCTGAATGTCACAATTGATTTCAGTCCGGGACAGGGACCAGTGAGGCCAAATTAAAGCAATTCTGAAGGGCGCACTGGGTTACGATCACAGAACATCCGCTCAAAAAGTAGGCCTCAATAGCAAAAGCACACTCCTCACTGTTCCAATGCATGATGGTGACTGAACTGTGTCAGGACAAAACTTTATACTCCTGCCTCTATGTCTTCAACCAACTGAATGGTCCGCATTTTAAAAAAAGAAGTTATGTTGCCACACCCTGTATAAGTTCTATTTTTTCTTTCAATGTGTATAGAAATTCACTTTCATTTTTCCTCCACAGACATTCTCTACATCGCAAAAGACAGCAGTAAGAGCAAGAGTGCAACAAAGCCAACGCGATCCATAGGGGTGAGTATTATTGTATATACCAAGTCTCCATTTCCAGCAGTACTTTGACCTTTGGACTAGAAGAGGTTACCTATACTTCTAAATATTAGGCTCTGAACAGATGATTAGTAGATAAAAAAAGAAACAAAACAAAGTAACAAAGGTACCGTTTCATTATCTGGGCAGAGGCCACAAGGGGGCACTAGAGAGAGAATAAAAGTCAATTTATGGGGGGGGGGGAGTTGAAGGAGGAAAATCATTTCCCTCGTTTTCACTGGTTATTCTTCCTCCCCATTTCTTATGTCATAAACGAGGGTTGTTTCCACAACAAGAACATCTGTGGGGGGATAACAGGAAAATGGGGAAATGGTTTAACTCCTTCAACCCACCCTCCACCCTGTAAAATGGACTATCCATCTCTCTCTAGTGCCATGATGGTTCATAGGGAGAGATGCATTCGGACAGGTAATTTGGGCTGGGGCCGTTTAGGGCTTTATAGGCCAAAGCCAGCACTTTGAATTGTGCCCAGTAGCAAACTGGCAGCCAGTGGAGCTGGCGTAACATGGGAGTTGCATGCTCCCTATATGCCGCCCCATTTATTAACCTGGCTGCCTCTCGTTGGACTATTTGAAGCTTCCGAGCAGTCTTCAAAGGCAACCTCGCGTTAGAGGGCGTTGCAGTAGTCTATTCTAGATGTAACGAGAGCATGGACCACCGTGGCCAAGTCAGACTTCCCAAGGTACGGGGGCAACTGGCGCACAAGTTTTAATTGTGCGAACATTCCCCTGACCACCGCTGCAACCTGGGATTCCAGGCTCAGTGATGAATCCAGGAAAACTCCCAAGCTGTGAACCTGTGCCTTCAAGGGGAGCGTGACCCCGTCCAGCACAGGTTGTGACCCTATATCCTGTTCGGCCTTGCGATCTTCTGACTAGCTATAGAAGTGGAGCAGGAGTTAGTGATAGCAAAAGAAGAGCAAGCAATAAACAAGCCCTTCCTGAAGACTAGGTGGAGAAGGCTATTAAGTGAGAAATGAATTGCTACTTAAGTAAATTTCTGTATTAGCAGAATTTAGGTTCTTTGTTTGCAAAGCTGTTTAGTTTCAGTACATCTACACTGATGCAGTTTGACTCCACTTTAATAGTCTCACTCAATGTTATGGATCACAAGGTTTGTAGTTTGGTAAGACACCAGCACTCTTTGGCAGGGAAAGCTAAAGACCTTGTAAAACTTCAGCTCCCAGGATTTCATAACATTGAGCCTTGGCAGTTAAAGTCTGATTTCTGATTAATGCAGTTCATGGTCAATCTACATTAATTTTACACTGTAGGTGCACTCTAGTAACCTCATCACATGCAGTTTGGATTCCATTTTGGATACGGAGTCCCACAGACACATGACGTATTACTTCATTCTATTCTTTCCTCCACTTCCTCTTGTTCATCCTATGCATATAAGACCCTAGGGCAGGGACTTCTCCTATTCTCCTTTGTATAGCTTCATGCATGCTGACAACACTATATAAAGTACATATATGCCATAATAATAATAATAATAATAATAATAATAATAATAATAATAATAATAATAACAACAATAACAACAACAACAATAATAACAACACCAACAACAACAACATGGGAAGTGTCCGACGTGTGATCCAGTACAACAGACAGCAAAGTAATCTTGTCTGCTGTGGACTCATCTTGTTGTGTTTCTAATAACAATAATAATCTATATAAATAAAAATGTAATGTTCGTTTGTGGGATTAACAGAACTCAAAAACCACCTAGTTGAGAGATCCATTTTGAAGAGGTGGATAGAATTTACAGTTATTAGCAGAACAACATCAGGATGAAATTACTTGTGCTACTCTAAGTAACATGTAAAGAAGCCCCAACTGTGTCCATTTTCCAATTTCAAAAAAATACATTATCATCATCATCATTTTATTTCTTACCTGCCTCTCTTCATAGCTCGAGGTTGGTCACAGCATAGTCAAAACACACATATTAAAATGTAGTTCTAGAAAAGATACATTTCAAAATATATTTCTATAAAACAACCCTATAACAAACAAAGAAGCAATTTCTGCCTTGTGCTCAATGAGCTCCTTACTTTTGTGTTGTGCTTTTACTTTCCTTTAGGGGGAGAAAAGTCTAATCTTCTGACCACTGAGAGGCCCCAAATTGAGACATCCAGTCTTCTGCTCTTAGAACATGCTATAAACAATCTTGTAAGGCAACCTAGTAGTGTAAGCTATAAAGACATTTTAAAAGGAGAGTTGAGTCCATTAAACTGACATGGTTAAACGTGGTGCCACTCTAAGTCAGGTGTTTATAGCTGAACAAATAGGATCAATGATATGTACAGACTACATACTCCTGTTTGTGCATCTCACCTAATGAAAATGTAACCTTGTTCGCTGATGGTTTTTCATCTACTTCTGCTGTTTAGAAGAAAAATATGTTGTTATAGGAATTCCATTGTCCTTTTACTGTAAGGCAGTGGTTCCCAAACTTTTTCTTTTTTGACCACTTGACCAGGGAGCACTTTGACCAGGGATCACTCTCCAACATTAGTACCAAAAAAGGTTATGAATCAGTTTAGATTCAGTTTGCTTTTCCGTTACAACTCTTGTGTTTGGCACCAGGGAACCCACAAGAGGGCAAGAGGGTAAGGGCAATGGCGCTGGCTTCCATCCTTCTCTCCCTCTCCCCCTTGCTTTCCTCTAATGGTGTCGGGGAAGCTGCAAGAGGGCGAGAGGGCAAGGGCAATGGCACTGGTTTCCTTCCATCCTTCCATCCTTCCTTCCTTCCTTCCTTCCTTCCTTCTCTTCTTCTATCTCTCACTGTCCTCCAACAGCACTGGGGAAGCCACGAGAGGGCAAGAGGGTGGCGCAACGGCACTGACCTCCTTCTATCCTTCTCTCCCTCTCCTTCTCTCCCTTGCTCCCCTCCAATGGTGCCAGGTAAGCCTCAAGATGGCAAGGGCAACAGCACTGGCCTCCTTCCTTCCTTCTCTCCATCTCCCTCTCTCGCTCTCATCCAACAGTGTCGGGGAAGCCGCAAAAGGGCAAGCGCAACAGCCCTGGCTTCCTTCCTTCCGTCTCTCCCTCTCCTTCTCTCTCTCGCTCTCTAATGGTGGCACCCCCAGCCATGGACCTTATTTTAGGCCTCACGGTCCACCAGTGAGCCGTGACCCATGGATTTGGAATCACTACTGTAAGGGAAATGTGTATGGTTTTGTGGGGGCAAACTGAAATATGAGCAATAGATCCGTTTCTAGTAGAGACACTGCTCTTTTTCATCAAGATGAGATTAGTGAAAGGCTGAAAGCCTGCCATGTGGAATATGAAACAAAGTTGTTTCATATTCCAACTCTATGAATTCATTTCTGGCCAATACAAATCTGTCACTCTTTTAATGTCTTTATTGCAAAGAAATTGGTTGTTGTGTTGTGACTGATCTTGACCAAGATGTTGGCTACTGTTTTGACTGAAATATTCTTTTGTAGTTTCTTGGGGTAACTAACCATAAAAGAGTGTTTATTTTTTTTACGGTTAGCAACGGTTATCCGACTTTCCAAAAATGGGTCTTTTCCAGCTTTAGCATTGCAAGCTGAATTCACATCCTTTCATGCGCTGTAGCAATTAGTTAAATTCACCAGAATTGGAGAAAGGAATCAGGTTATATCACTTTGACACAAACAAATACAGATAGACCTATAGATGGAACATGATTGTACAGATTGTGTACCTATGGATGGGTTATATTAAGGTGGGAATCATGGGTTCCCTGTGTTTGAGTGTTGTTCTTTATTTACGGTTATAATTTTAGAGTTTTTTTTAATACTGGTAGCCAGATTTTTTTCAGACTAGAAATAGGAAGATTTCCCATTCTCTACTCCTGGAATTACTGCCTAAAGAGGGCTAGAAAGAACCCCCTCTAAGGGCCCTTCCACACAGCAAAATAAGATATGTGCAATGTGCATAGGAATTTTTTAATTGATTTTAAAAAACAAAAACTATAGTCCGGCTCTCCAACGGTCTGAGGGACAGTGAACTGGCCCCCAGTTTTAAAAGTTTGAGGACCGCTGTTCCATGACATATTTAAACAAATCAGGAAAATATAACTTCAGAAGCCTTCGTCTGGATCTACACTGTAACCCAGGATCTGAACCCAGATTATCTTCTTATCCCAGACTAGGTGCCCCCTGCCACTCGTTGCTGTGGCCCAGTCTAGTGACCTGGAAAATAGTGTTGGTTTCTAATATATGTAATTTCTTTATGCTTGTGGGAAAACAGTATTTCTTGTCAGTAGAGACTGCCTGGTTTGCCTACTTTGGAACATGCAACATGTTCTTTAGAGGTCCCTCTGAAGTCTAAGATACTATATCTGGCATATATGTGTGTGTGTGTGTGTGAATCATATCTATTTATCTATATCTATGGCTGGATGGCTCTTTCTCAGGAGGGCTTTAATTATGTTTTCATGCCCTGGTGAAAGGAGTTGGACTGGGTGGCCTTAAGGCAGCATTTTTCTAACCTGGGGGTTGGGACCGCTGGGGGGGGGGGGGGGGGGGGGGGGGGGGGTTGTGAGGGGGTGTCAGAATGGTCACCGAAGACTACCAGAAAACACAGTATTTTCTGTTGGTTATGGGGAAAGTTTGGCCCAATTCTCTCGGTGGGGTTCAGAATACTCTTTGATTGTAGGTGAACTATAAATCCCAGCAAATACAACTCTCAAATGTCAAGGTCTATATTCCTCAGACTCCACCAGTATTCACACTTGAGCATGTTGAGTATTCCTGCCAAGGTTGGTCCAGATCCATCATTATTTGAGTCCACAGTCCTCTCTGGACTCCCAAACTCAAAGTCAATGCCCACCAACCCCTTCCAGTATTTTCTGTTGCTTATGGGAGTTCTGCGTGCCAAGTTTGGTTCAATTCCATCGTTGGTGGAGTTCAGAGTGCTCTTTGATTGTAGGTGAACTATAAATCCCAGCAACTACAACTCCCA